TCAGGCCCATACTGTGTTGCTGTTTGTGAACGCTCTCCTTCTCTTATGTGATTAGTGGTGACTGCTGCTGTTAACCACAAATGTATGCTTCCAAAACAAATCAGGTTTATATAAAAGGTATTATTCATGTTGCTTCGTCTTTTTTTGAAACACTTAAAAAAACTGTTTTGTCACTATGTGAACCAAATTAGCCAACATAAGCGTAGTTTTTCCTTCAGGGCGAAAAGGAGGGATCAAATGGGCTAGAATGAGCATATAAAATATCCTGAAGTTCTGGAAACTCTATCAAATACAGGTTGAGACAAAGAAACCAGATGGGGAACAGTAAAAGTAACATAACATTTAATTTAAATGGGAGAAAAAATAAAATAAATAGAGGATGGTTGAAATATCTGGAAATCTAATAAAAGCCTTCACAAAAGATTTTTTTGTTAAGACAAGAATTTTTTGTTAAGTTTTGGACATTGATAGAGAAAAAATGAGGGTTGAGTATCTGAGTGGTTAAAGAAAATATTGAGATGTTTTACCTCGGATACTACAGCAAATTGTCTTCAAGGTTAAATGATTTTATCATCTTGAACTTTTTAGATTAAAAATATTAATTGAAAAACATAATTTCATGATGATTTAAAAGCTCCATGATTACTTAAAGGATCATTACACAAAGATATACCTGTGGGGACTTTCATTTTGATATTCATTGACATCACCTCACCTCCTAATCTCAAGTCTGGACCCCTAAAAGGACCCCAAACAGCATGAGATCCTAAGAAACATCTTCATTTTGGGAGATTATAGTGCCACACACAGACATACACAAAAACACACACATACGCGCGCACACACACACACACAGGGCCACTGTATCCGCTGCACAGATGGTAAAGGCAGCAGCCCTTCACACAGACAAAGAGAAGGTAATTCTCTCTGCAGGACGTGAACAGGGCTGGAGCTGGAAGAGAGCAGCACATATCAACACTCCCCTCCCTGCTTCCTCGTCTCAGCCCCAGGCCAACAAACATCACAGGAGTAAACTGACAATGTGTGCGCGTGTGTCTGTGTGCGCACAAAATAAATGTGTGTGTGTGTGTTTGTCAGTGTGAGCGCTGCTGGAATAGGCTTTAGGAGGAGAGGGAGGAAAAATAAGAGTGAGGGAAAAATGAGCGAGATAAAATGAAAAAAGAGAGGGAGAGCGTAGGGAGGGAGGAGGTAATAAACAGGATTAGTGCTTATCTTTACAGCACTGTGTGTGTGTGTGTGTGTGAGTGTGTGTGTGTGTGTGTGTGTGTGTGTGTGTGCCTGTTTTGCCTGAGGACAGAGTGACTGACTCTAGCGCTACCTTTGCCAATGTGTCTCCATCCCCAGGTATCTCTTCTCTCAGGGTTCCCACTGCTGTGTACACTGGTACAATATGTTCTGTGTGTGCGTGCATGCGTGCGTGTGTGTGTGTGAACACGCCTTACTCAAACCTGGTTGTCTTGCTGTGTACGTAAAGAGTCTGAGTTTGTGTGTGTATGCAGAGGTGAAAGTAAACATGTATTCAGAGTCTGTGTGTTTGGTAGTGATTCTGTTCTGCTGTATGCATTTGTTTAAGTGCGTGCGTGTGTGTGTGTGTGCACTGTTTTTGCATGGTGAACACACAACTGTAAAGTGTGAATGAGCATGTGTGGCGTGCATGTGTTTGTGTGTGTAGCTGCCTCAGGATAAAGAATGTCCTCACCTCTTTGTTGCCTCTGCAGTTTGTCTTTACCGTCTGTGTGCATCTGGGTACAGAGTGTATCTTTGCACATACACACCTGTGCGTGTGTGTGAGTGTTTGTGCGCAAATGCTTAGAGGGTGGGTTAAGCTGCCATTATGAAGCTTGTGCAGCCTTGTGGCACTATTGTGTGTGACAGTATTTCTGTTTGTAATCTCCTACCTGACCAGAGCTAACAGGCTGCTCAGCGTCTCACTTTCACCGGATGAGAAAGGAGGAATACATTTAAATAATCAGCAGTTCGAGTTCATGGCTGATACTATGCCTCACTGCTTTTGTAAATGAGCATCTGTGTGCGAGCTATTTGTGTGTGCATGTTTGTGTGTGCATCTGCTTTAAAAGACATCTGTGGAAGTCTTGGTGGATTGTTCTTGTAGCAGCATCCCTCGCTCTGTGCCCGTCTTTACAGAAGATGAATAGATGGAGAGCAAGAAAGCAGGAGGCAGGAAGCCGTGTGTGCTTGTGTGTGTTTGTGCGAGGCTGCGTCTGCATATAAATGTGTGTATGCTTGCGTGTGTGATGGATAGAGGGCTTTATGAGAGAGGAATAGGCTAATGACCAGGTCTCCAGAGGCAATAAGATTCCTGGAGCTATTACTGCCGGAGTTCATAATGGCCTCTGTGCTTGGCCTCTTTTACACGCTGCTTAATGGGGGATCCTACAGTCCGCCGCCAAGTATAACCCACCTGAGAACACACGCACACACACACACACTGCTGTGCACTTTGACCCTTTCATAAACACACACACATAAAAACACACAGAGCAGCAAATGTTCGATCGGGTTCATCTCGCACCTGCGTTTGCACATGCACAAGCAGAAACGTACATTTTACAGTTTATCTGCCTCTCCGTGCACACACAATCAAACACACACACACACACACGCAATACAACCTGTATAGGTCACAAAGGATGGAGGTGAGACACCCACCTCAGAGAAAACTGAGAGTGTCTGCCTGCAGTGCACAGGCGAACCATAAATCATGTCAGGCTACTCTAGTCTCCACAGACACACTCAAAGACACACACACACAACTCTTGTTCACTCCCCCTCTTTTTCTCTTGTGTAGGTTTGAGTACAAGGGAGAGGGATTTGGGGATTATAGGGGAGCCTCACTTTTTCTCTTTTCTCTTTTCATTGCTTCCTTCAGTACTTGTTGTTTCCATAGAGAGAAAAGTGGGGAAGTAGGGGGCCGCTAATCTCTGTGTGTCTGAGCGCACACAAAGATGTGTGTGTCTATTAGAGTGTATGTGTGCCAGATTGTGTTAATGCATGCTTGTGTGTGTGTGTGCGTGTGTGTGTGTGTCTCTTTCATCACTGAATGGATCTCAGGGAAAGACTTGAAGGAGACAGTCTATTCATTGAGGAAAACATCAAGGCTATGTGGTGCTACTGAGTCTGGTATTTTAGAAATGCAAGAGGGAGACAGGAAGAGAGGAAGAGGAAAGAGAGGAAAGAGAGAAGAGGGGGGAAAGGGAAGAGGATAAAAAGTGAGAGGAAGAGAGAGAGAGGATGGACAAGGTAGAAATCCGCACTCGGAAGCGTAAATCGATGCAAAACAGCTGTTAAATAGCTGCAAAGTGGAACAGCTGCTTTGGAGAGAGGGATGGGGAAATGAAGGGATGAATGATCAAGGGGGAGAGATAGAGAGATGGAAAGTGAGACAGACAGGAGGCACAGGGGACACGTTGAAATATCAGACTAAATGAAGCAGGCTGAGTGAGCTTATCAACTGATATATTTCCTCCTTATGTAACTTAAAGTGTGTATAATCGACAGTGAGAGGTTATATGGAGAGGTTTAATGTTCAAACTAAAATAATGAAAATAAAACCAAGAACAAGGTCAGAAATCTGCCTTTCTCTACAGAAAGATAACCCACTGAGTTTTGACAGTTTTGTTTTGTTTTCATCACAAAAATATATATTTTTTTAAATAATAAAAGTGTGTGACAGCCTTGCACCAGAAATATTCGGGCAGCTGGTAAATAAACTAAGTAGAAGGACCAAAAAACTGGAACAACATCCAGTCAATCATCCTTCTCAGTAAGAGGTATGAAACTATCAAATGCAAACCAAAGTTTCTAATACACATACTAAGACATGATCAAAACTTTAACTTTAAAAGTAAGCATCTATGCTTGAAGATTTTTGTCCACACATGTAACCTGAGAGAGAATTAACACCCGAGTCTGCAGTTCCTTGAGGTCTGGGGGGTGTTTTAGACTTTCATTGTATTTTTTCTGCTGAATCTGGATTGTTTTGGTCTCGCAGCTCATATGCAGCTGTTGCAGGAAGAAAATGATCCACCAGATCAACTTTATCCTACCTGTCCATCATCAGGCAGCTAGCTGGTAAAAGCAGGGCTTTAAACTTCATGAAAACTCTAAATTCAAATTCTGGTCCACAATCAGATCGTCATGAAACAATAGCATATATTATGTTTTTCCTGGTCTCTTGCAAGTGAAATTATTGTGAAGAAACATTTTCTCTGCACATCAGTGTTTAACTCTGTGAAACTATGATAAGCTGCATCATAATGAAGCGCTGCTATAAAAAGGATCTTCTACAGTGATTACATTCAACACTTAGACCAGCTGTGACACTGTCACTTGGTTTGAGCAAAGATTTGAATATCTTTTATTGTAATGATAGAGGTGGAATTATATATTTCTATGTGTGGACCCAGTAGTTGTTGGTTTACATGTTGACATTATTAGCATTACCATAATCAGTCTGTGAGTACACCTCTGGATTTGTGAGAGTGCAGCGGCAGATCACTACAGAGTGATCATACTTTGACAAGTCTCAAGTACTCCTGTACACTGTGGGTGCAGTGCAGCAGCACTCGTTCGTCAATATTAGAGGCTTTAAAGGGATATTCCAGCATAAAATTAAGTTAAGGTCAAACACACCGTAACACCGAGTTAGATACCCTGTCGAGAGATGAATGTTGCTGACTGCTTGCTTCTTTAGTTATACCAACTTTAGTAACGACCACAGATAGCAATACAGAGAGCCACACACTCAACCAAAACACCACTATAGCCACAAATAATGCTCAGAACAGCACCTAACTTCATCAACAGTACATATAGGGTCCCAGCCATAGCATTGGCCATCAAACATCTTTTTAGCTTCGCCTAATTTCTTTAGCAAGGAGACTAAACACAACTCACCCACTCTCTTCCAGCAGCCACTTGTTTGTACGGAGACCTCCGGACGAGTCCATCGACAACAGTGGGGTGACGCAGCCCAAGGAAGAACATTTGTGATCATTTCTTTATCATTTCCTTGAAGTAATAATCACCATATTAATCATTCGCACTACAGATGCGGTAGTTCTTCTGCCTTTGCATCTCGGTCTGATTTCATTTCTATGAGGAAATGATCATAAATGTTCTTCCTTGAGCTGCGTCACCCCGCTGCAGTCTGTAATGGATAAAGTCTCGCTACAAACAAGCAGCTGCTGGAGGAGAGTGGGTGAGAAGCAGGCGGTGGGCAACACTCATCTCTCGGTGTGTTTGACCCTAACTTAATTTTACGCAGGAATATCCCTTTAACATGTGACTGCCCCCTATGCACTAATCACCAGAGTGAATGTAAAGTGCAGCACATGCATATGATCAGTGTGTTTAAACTCCTGTGTGCTTTGGACACAATGCTACAGCAATAGACTGCTGTTTCATTGATTGCATGTGTGTGTAATCAGGGGTAATAATGTTTTAAAAACTTAACCAACTACTATAATCAGCCTCATGTGAAACAGTAGAGGAGTTTAAACAGTAAGTGTATGCATCTTGTGAGTATTCCTCGTGCAAAAGCAGAAATTAATCCAGGTAATTAGCCCTGTGAGTACTCCTCTTTACTCTGAGATGTTGAAGTGCCACGGCAGTAGATCAGCACTAGCAGTGCTTCTATAATTAGCTGGTGAGTATTATTCCTGCAGCAGTGGGGGTACAGCAGGAGGAGCTGACTTGAACAGACCTGATTGTCTCCAGTGGACAGTAAACATGTCCGGGCTGTGAGCTATCAGCAGTCTGGGGCCACATCTTCCTCCTCTCCATCCCTCCATCTCTCCAGGGAGCATCAGTGGAGCAGGTGCTGCTGCTCCTCCTTCTCCTCCACCCTCCCTTCTCGAGTCATACCCCGCCTCTCTCTCTCTCTCTCTCTCTCTCAGAGTCAGGACACTCAGAGCGTTGTCCTTCTCCGTAACACAGAGATGTGTTGATGTATCTTAGAGTGATATTATTATGGAGATAACTCTTTGTTAAGCGACAGAGGATGCGCAGGGTTTCTCCTCTTCTCCTTTCTGTGGTGAGACGGTAAGACGTTGTTTTCTGTCGTTTCAGTAGTCGTCTTGGGGTTAACCTTGTCCTAGCCTGGAGTGGAGAGTCTCTTGAACTCTGAAATATGACCGAGCCTATTAAATGCGTATCAGCGCCTCCTAAAGTTGGGGCCATTGAGTTATGTATTGAACAATGTGAATCATGCCTGTCCTGTGATACAGACTTGTGCTTTTATCTCATGACCTCACTTTTTTTTTTAAATCTCTTTACCACACTTTCTCTGTGGTCTTTGTGCTGCTCTCTTATCGACACTGACTCTTGTCTACTTTATCTGGCGTTTTTTTTCTCGCACGATAGCAGCAGTTTCGTTATGATTTGTTTGACCACAGTTTTTTTTTCTCATGTCTATTTTTGAACAAAAACTGAAACTGAAATAGTTTCCGGTACTTTTTTTTTGAGTCAAACTGAAGTCGACCGAAAAACCAATCGTGTCCAGTGTGTGATTGAATCATTCAGTAAAGTGTAGTCAGATAAACTGGTCCAGCTTGACTGACAATGTGAAGACAGCAAGCGATAACTGCTTCTGGTTTATACTTTCAAAATAAAAGTCACACGTGTCTGTTTGGTGTTATATCTCAAAAACGACATAATTTTTTTCTTTTAAACTAATAACTAGATAATCTAGACAAAGATGTGGCTGTAAATCAACGATTGTTTGAGAATAAATTGCCTTACTGGGGGCAGTGTCCGCTTTTATTTTGAAAAAAGACTTCATTTCCGGTTTGGAGCTGTTAACATTGTCTGTCTTGACGCAGCCGCAGAAGGCGAGGCTTGTAAAGATGTTTGCGGTTCCTACTTATGTCCTCTTTCCTGTCAAACTTGTCAGTGATCAAACATCGCTCTTGTGTACTTCCTGTAAAAACTTAACGGGCAGGAAGGAAGAAAGACCTGAAACGCAACTCGGCGTGTCACTCAGCGTCCCCGTGATGGTTTGTCACACATTAACAGCCACCAATGGGAGTCCGAGGAGTCGCTCTTTAATTCGGGACCTTTAACCGCGACTGTATTGTTTGACTGAGATAGATGCCGCGGGGCGCATTAGCAGCAGTCAGGCGGATCACGTCGCTTTTGTGTCTGTACACAGTCCGCAGGTGGAGTTTAACACACACACACACACACACACACACACACACACACACACACACACACACACACACACACACACACACGCACACACACACACTGACCGACCGTGCACCATGTGCTGCTGACCTGCCGTAGACCAGCTGCTCAGCAGGGGTTACCAAGTAAACCTCCAATCTCTTTAATTACCTCCCTCTGATAGATAGGCTGATGCTGGGCCACTGTAAACCCACGGCTTCAGATACACCTCAGCGGTTTTTTAATCTCATTAAAAAATCAGCATCCTAGTCTGATTAGTAAATGGATTATTAAAAACCATTAAAAATAAGTCCCCACTATATAACTCTATTGGCAGCATGTATTTGTGGCTGGCAGGTTTGTATATTTTCTGTATTAATCCCCTGTAATTTCACTATAGTTAAACTTCTCTGTTGTCATTTACCCAAATTTATATAAAACAAAAAAGACAGTTTGTACATCAAGGTAATTGCAGGAGTCAGCTTCTGTTTTGAAATACTGTCAAACCTTTTCTTTTCTAATCGACCATTCATTTTAATAGTTAAAGCTTTATTTACTTTTGTGGAAACACAGGGATGATCAGTTATAAATCTTTTTTTCCTCGAATTCAGTTTGCTTTTTTTTTTCTTGGGATTTAAAATTAGAAGCAACATCTCAGGTCCTCATAAGAAGTACCAGTAAAATAATATTACAGTAAGATAACCTTATTTGAGCCAAATTACAGTATCATCATACTCAGGCCCTGGTCTGTTCATCATGGTTTGTCACATACTTATCTTGGATACCAGAGCCGGCCCAAGCCTCAATGGGGCCCAAAGCAAAATTTGATTTTGGGGCCCTCTATTTCTGCCAATAATATTGATTGTTGATCATTCACACACCTTCATAAATCTCTTTGATTAATATTTCATGACATGCAAACATACCTTTATCTTGGCATTTTTTCTCTCCTTCCTCTTTCTTTTCTCTGCTCCTGAAGGATATGTCCTTCTTTGCGACATTGTTTTGCCCCACAACTACCTGCGCTTTGGCTGCTCAGTGCACATTGCACAGCAAAAGGGACATAACGGTAGCTGAGCTTTGACATATCGGCAGTAAGAATCATAGGCCTACATCATCAGCAGCACTAGAATGTTTTTACTGACTTTATTTTTACAATACTTATATTTGATCATTCAGAAAGCATCATTCATACATGCAAAAAATGAAAAATATTAATTTTAAAATTCTTTTTGATTGCTCTTGGGAGCCCCCTATTTGCCGTGGGGCCCTAAGCAGGCGCCTAGTTCACTTTTGCCTTGGGCTGGCACTGTTGGATACCAAAAGGTAAAATTCCCCACCTACGATGAGTTCAATTCATGTAAACAGCTTCGTCTTGATCTTCCTCATACCCACAAGCTTTGGGCACATAGTGAAATGATTTGGTGAAGCTATGACAGTTTTTTACACAGGACAAACAAAAGTCAAGTATGTACTGACACAGATGTCTAAGGTCATGGCACAAGAGGAAGAATTCAACTCTCAGAGATGCTTTTCTTGTTGCTCCTGTTTTGTGTATTCACCTCAAATGAATGAGGAAATAATCCATTAAATCTATAATCTGTCCTCTGAGACGACAGTATCAGCTCTGTGCTGCTGCCGACCCAAACCTCACCTTGACCTGAAGCTTTAAACACCAAACCTGTCTTTAACTTCTATCACAGTCATTGAAGATATCTTTTTCTCTGCATGATCTTTAGTTACACCTGTACCTGCACTGATCCTGTAGCATGTCAGTCTTTGTGCATCTGCTTGCCTGTTGGTCTTTCTACACCTTTGTGCAACAGGAGTGTGTCTGTATATCTCACCCCCCCTCATGTTTGTTCAGATGCTGGAGGTCTAGCCATCATGGTGTCTGCACCTGGTGACACGACAACCCTCCATCCACCACCTCCACTGAGAACACACACACACTCAGCCGCAGACATGCAGAAAAACCCCACAGGCAACAGTCAGACCCAGCCTGGCATCCAAACAAACAGACACAGAGTTGAGATTGGTTTGCCTCAGATAGCTTTATCTTTTTGCTTCATCTTCATATCAGAGCAGTGAGACTGAGCCTCACGCTGCAAGAAAGATCGATGACACAGAGGGGGGAAAAGAAAAGCAGCCGATGTGAAATGGGAAGGTTGTCGAGCAAGCGGCGGGAGACTGAGAAGGAGACAGCGAGAGGGGAAATGACAAAGCAAAGAAACGTGGACAGACAGACAGAAGTGTTAGACTCCCAAAGCAGCTGCTATTTATATCTGCTTTTTGTATTTGATAGACAGTGACAAGATGTTTGCTGACAAGAACACTGATTATAGACATGGAGAAGAGGCCGCAGAGAAGAGGGGAAGCTCCCTGAAACCAGGAGGAGGTGAAGACCTGAGTTTGAGGAAGTTTTTCTAGTGTCACAGTGCTGTCTTCAGAGATAGTCATTTACAGTCCTTTCACCAACATTGTAATTCTGTTTTTACTGCACAGCAAGCACGGCTCTGCTCCAATACACACACTTAAATATAAAACAAAGTAAGGCGATCTACTCCTCTTATACGTCCTCCATTGTTTCTGTCTCTGCAGCTAATTCTTCGCTTCAGCTTGTCTTTGGTTGTACTTGCTGTTTAGAGTTTATTTTCATCGTTGGAGGTGTCGTTTATTACATTATGTGGTTTTTCCGCTCCATTTATCCGCCCGCTATAAATGTGCGCTGGCTGTTTGGTCCCTTGGGGTCACATGATGCGTACACTTTTTGATGCACAGTCCCTGGATCCTGACTCAGCGTATTGTTTACATGCTTGTGTTAGCGTCGACTGCTAACATGTGTGTTTCAGCTGAGGAAATTTGCATGCCCGTTTCTGTGTTTGCAAGTGTGTGAGACGGTGCACCAGAGGAGGGGGGAGAGTGTGTTCGTTGTTTATGGATTGTGAGGAAGTGTTAAGTGTTTCTGAGCGAGCTGAAGAGTGACTCGAGCTAGTAAAGCCATTTAGCAGCCCCTGGAGTAACCCCGGAGACTGCTGTGTTGACGCCACTCTGACTGCTATTACAGACAAGTTTAAGAGGCTGTAAAACATTTGGCTACTTTTCCTCCCCCTCTGTTTCTCTCTCTCTCTTCTGTGTGTGTGTGTGTGTGTGTGTGTGTGTGTGTGTGTGTGTGTGTGTGTGTGTGTGTGTGTGTGTGTGTGTGTGTGTGTGTGTGTGTGTGTGTGTGTGCTTGTCAGGGGGATTGAAAAAGTCTGCAAGCCATTGTAACAGCAACATTAGCTGTTGTTGAGATCATCATCATTTGTAGGAACCCAGTAATAACGTCTTAAAACTTGGATAGAGCTAATTTATTGTTGAGGAAACATTTGTGTGTGTGTGTGAGTGTGTGTGTGTGTGTGTGTGTGTGTGTGTGTGTGTGTGTGTTTGTGTGCACACTTATCGTCAGGCCAAAGTGAACCACACAATAACACACAAGCAGACTCAGACATGCCATTGTGATGAGAGTTAATGAGAAGGTTGTGTGTTTCAACCTCTTCTCCAATCCTAATGACCCATCCCTGCTCATGAACACACACACACACACACACACACACACACACACACACACACACACACACACACACACACACACACACACACACTGTTACACACATCATGCACTTCTAATGAGCTTACGAGGCAGAGCAGGTCCCCCCACCTACAGTCCTCGCAGTCCCCCCTGTGCTGGGTGTTTACCTGTTTTTGTGTGTGGTTAGAGAGAGAGAGGGTGAAAGTGTGAGTGCGCACGAGACACAGAGGAGGTGTCAAACACAGAGGGCTCACAGTGTGTTTGCTATCCCTGACATCATGCTGAGCAGGGTGTTAGTGTGTGTAGGTGAGTTTATGTGTGGATGAATGAAGTTGCACTGAATGTAAATAGTATTTTAAGGGATATTCCAGTGTAAAATTAAGTGAGGGTCAAACACACCGTAACACTGAGTTTGACACCCCGTCGAGAGATGAATGTTGCCGACCAACTTTAGTAACCACCGTACGATAGCAATACACAGCGGTCTGAGGAGCCACGCGCTCAACTAAAAAGCCACTCTATAGCCACAAATAATACGCAGAACAGCACCTAACTTCATCAACAGTACATATAAGGTCCTAGCCATAGCACTAGCCACCAAACATCTTTTTAGCTTTGCCTGATTTCTTTAGCAAAGAGACCAAACACAACTCACCTACTCTCTTCCAGCAGAGTACAGAGGTCTCAGGTGAGTCCACTTCCGCAGTGGGGTGACGCAGCTCAAGGAAGAACATTTCTCGGTGTTACTGTGTGTCTGACCCTAACTTAATTTTATGCCGGAATATCCCTTTAAGCAGAGCTGGGGGAGCTGCTGATACCTTAAGTTTCCTTAAAGCTCCTGCGAGAATTTTTTTGACATTTATTAGATGGATTGAAATTCATACTGATGCTTTTTCATGATATCCAAAATAAAACAAGATAGGTAGCAACAGGTTTGATGGTTTTTATTCTCCAATTTTTAAAGCCGGTGTGAGGGGGTAGGTATCGGCTGAGCAGCTGAATAAACAGCCTGTTTCTACAATTTCCTCATAAAATATTCTCAGTAAATGGTGAATTTGACCATCTAAAGTCAGCAGGATGATTTTTTTTTTTTAACATGTTGAGGACAAGATAAGCAAACACTGCTTTGTCCACAGGGGGCACCAAAAGTGACACAAATTGAAAGTTCCTCACAGGAGCTTTATTTTTTTATTTAAAACTAAATAAACCACATTGTGTCATTTGTCCAAAAATGACACATCATGTAGTCAATTGTTATTAAGCCTTACCTTTTAGCCAGCTGAGACCCTGACATGAAGACTGATTTTGTGAGTTTGTCAAACTGATCCAGGATCAACTGAAACTCTTTCTGTCCTTTTAAACCTCAAGATAAGGAGAAGTTTTGCAAAAGTTGAGTTGCTTTTAAATGAGTTTCCATCAAGCATCTGCTGTTTTTACTCTTTTTATTGACTTTTGCACTGTGCACTTTTCAAACACTTTACCCCTGAGGTGCCTATGTCATTGCGGTATAAGAACCCCATAGATTGTATGTGTTACAGTCTAACGGGGGCTGCTGCTGTGTGGCCTCTGAGTTGTGTTTACTCATTCAGTCATCACTTAAAAACAGCCCTGAAGGGAGTTAAATGTCTTAATTTGTATTTAGGGCTGCTGTGTGTTTTCACCCTCCAACATCCTGCTGTTTGAGGTCAGAGTTCAGAGGTGAAAGGTCACTGTCAGGAACCTCCCCTCCCCCACCTCACCCCTGTCCCCAAAGCAGGCAGAGGTGACGAGCAGTAAGAGACAGGGTGATGGATGGACAGAGGGTTAACATACACACACACACGCACACACACACACACACACAGCTCAAACCACAAAGCCACCCTCCCCGTCATCACTATAAACCCTCCCCCTCTTTCTGCCCCCAACGCCCCCCATCCCAAACCACCACCACCCTTCCTTACACCAAGATTGGCGGCCAAAGGAAAGAGGGATGAGGAGCAGAGTGGGAAGAGAGAAAAGAAAAACACACACACACACAGATAAAGGCATCCAAGGGGAGAAAATGGAAAGATTAAAAGAGTGTCAGAGAAGAGAGGGGCAAGGATGAGAGGGTGATAGAGAGGGAGGGCGAGAAGGAGGAGAGGAGGAGGGGGTGGGTGGATGTAGAAGGGAAGGAGGAGGATGAGGAGGAGGGGGGAAGTGGATAGAAAAAAGGTCACGTGACCACGTAGCAGCTGCAAGGCTGAGAGGGGAGAGAGAGAAAGAGTCTCAGAGAGGAGCAGAAAGACGACGAGCTGGAGGAGAAGAGTGAGCGGGAGGGTGAGTGTGTCTGTTTGCATGTTTGAATTATGTGCACATGCATATGTTAGCATGTGTTTGTGTTTGTGAATGACAGGGGGAGAAATATCAGAGGAATAGCCTGGAGGGAAAGATTGTAAAGAGAAAAAAGGAAGGAAGAAAGCAGAGGGGAGATTATTTGTGTTGGCTTTTGTTAAATGAGCCTCAGTGTGCTGAGATAAACGAGGGGGGGGGAGAGAGAGGGAGAGGGAGAGAGAGCGAGAGGAAGGAAGGAAAGAGTGAGTGAGTAAAGAGGAGGGAGAGAAAGAGTCGATAGAAACTGTCTTATCATCTCTGCCTTGACTGCTGGGCTCAGCAGAGACAGAGATATACACACAGGCACACGCACACACACACACACACACACACACACACACACACACACACACACACACACACACACACACACACACACACACACACACACACACACACACACAAACACACACTCTCTCTCTCTCTCTCACACACACACAGCCTGTCAGGATCTGAGCTTTTACTCTCTTCATCTCTTATTCCCTCTCTGTCTGTTTCAATTTCAATTTGCTTCATTGGCATGACATGTAGATGCAGAAGTGCAGCCAGACAAACAAAAGAAAACAGCTAATAAAAAAAAACACAGATGAAAAAGCACAAAGAAGAAAAAGCATAGGATGTGTACATGTGTGAAACATGTCTTCAGCTCTGTGCGGGGTTATTGTATACACTCAACACAGTGGCTGATGGGTCATAAATTATCCCTTCAAACTTTTCCAAACTCTAATGTTCTGACTGTAAATTTCAAAAACAGTTCAAATGCAATAATTTTTGTTGTCGTCTTCCTCTGCCTGGTTTTGTCTTATTTGTTTGAAAGCTATCAGGTAGAAGGTGGACACCATATAAGATTATTTAACGCTGTCAATCAACCAAGTTACAAGAACAGACTAGCCTCTAATCTTCAACTTCTTCAAAATGTCCCGTGTTGATGAGAAAAAATTTAGTTATGAGGGTGTTTTTGCGTTTGCGGTTTGTTCTTCATATGACGAGTGTGTGAGTTTGAGAGGTGTAACATGTGTGTGTGATGGTAATGAGGTCATTGTTGTGGCAGGCGGAGGGGACTGCTGGCTAATTCCAGCTGTAATTAACATTAGTGGGTCAGGAAGAGGGTCGAGAGTAAAAGACAAAGGTTACTTGAACCACATTTTCTCTGAATGTGTCCATCAGTCAGTGGATCAATGTGTTTACGAGTTATTCACGTGCGTGTGTGTGAGAGTGTAAAAACTGCAGTGATACTCGGTAGTGTTAGTGTGTTAGGCGCTGCTGAGGTCTTAAGATGTGTCGCCTGGCTCCCTTGAGGAAATGGACATGTGTGCACTCATGTGTATGATTTGCTATTAGGGTCACCGCTCTATTTGACACAACGCTACTTGCTCCACTCTGTCTGTGGAGGAGCTGACCCACGCATATGAGCACACTATGATGTCTAGGCATAAAGGCAGAAACACACACACGCGCGTGCGCACACACACACAGATACTTGTCTATTCTTTCTGAGCACTACATGATGAGTTTCATTCATTCTAGATAAATGAGACATCAGCTGTGTTCAAATTCAGACAATACTTTCTGTCAAAATCTCATCCCCTGGCTAACAAAAGAGCCCCACACTTGTGCTAACTGGATTGTCTGTGTTTTAATCAGAGCTGTCCTTCAGCTCTACAATGAAACCATTTCTCCATGTATCAAACCCTTCACATATTTCTCTCCCGTTCTCCTCCTCAGGTATGAACCATGAGTCCAATAAATCACCGTCAATAGGAATGATCTCCTCAGCAGCTCGCACCACGGCCACTGTCAGTCCCCTCAGCCCTCTAACCAATGGGAACACAGTTGCCCAGTCTGCAAACTCCGGATTTGCTGCTGCCTTGCGTAAACTGGCAAAACAGGCAGAGGATCCCAGAGGTGAGTCCTAAAACTTAAGACTTTCAGCAGGTCCAGGTAGTGATCTTGCATAGTTCACACAAACTCACACAAGGGTTCAAGGATTCAAGGAACTTTATTTGTCATACCCCACACCTTTGACAGTCTGTGGTACGAAATTAGTACCCAGGTCCGTTCCCAAGCCAAGAATAAAATACAATACAATAAATAAAAATATCATACAATAGATAAAATACAATACAATATTTAAGTAAGGCTGAAATTAGCCCTGTTGCACTAAAAATCCCGTGTGAAAGCAGCACCTCGGTTCCTACCCAGTGTCGATCAGACTGAAATGATTAAAACAAAGGAGGGAGGAGGACAGATTTGACCAAATTTGACCTCTTTTAACCTTGTTTAATGTAACTAGTAACTTATTTACCTTATTGAATTATGTATCAGTTTTATGTCAGTTTTTATTTTGGCCTGTAGGGGGTTTATAAACTCAAGCTGAGCAGTGAGACAGGCGCAGAGATGGAAAGAAAGAGGGAGATCACAAAAGACTTAATATTTCCTATAATCTGATGTTAATTAATAAGTAACAGAGCTAACCTGCAAATGACAAACTTTAATTTGTTTCCATTGAAATGTCATTGCAGGCTCTATGTGCCTTCAGAATAAAAGCACTGTATGGAAAACAAACCATACATGCTTATTTTTCATGCTTGGGATGTAAACATAGCTGAGTCCTAATGTTTTTTTCTTTGTATCGGGTAGGATACATGCAGCTCACTCACAAAAAACAGGTGAGATTGGCCCATACTGTGGACTAAACAGCCTAATTTGTGAACATAAGCAGCAAAAATCATGCTGTTACATAGATGATATGCTTCCTGTTTAGAGTGCCAGGGTAGGTACAGTGTGCTGTAGTAACGCAAACAAGATCAGGGTTCACCACACCAAACTGTACCAAACCAAACCAGACCAGACCACTTGATGTACTTGGGGAGATTGCACAAACTTACATTAACTTCCTGAAAGGCTTACTTGAACACTAACCTCAACCGCTGAGCCAAAAATCTGTCTTCCTCTATTGGCAACACAGCCGTGACCCCAGTTGTACAAAGTCCCAAATTAACCGGTTGTCAGTCTGACACATGTCCACAAAAGTGAGCATAGTCATACACACACACACACACACACACACACACACACACACACACACACACACACACACACACACACACACACACACACACACACACACACACACACACACACACACACTAACCTGCGGACTCATCTTTATTAGTCACACCCAAAAAGAACAAACTGTACTAACTGTCAGGTTTATTTAACATCTGTTGGCGTATCTGCATGTTGTCGTTGTCTCTGTCAGGTGTTAACTAAGAAACTGATCTGTTAACATGGAACTATTTTTTAAATTTTCCTCATGTTTTATTTGATAAGAGGAAAGTAAGAACGCTCTGTTTTTGCACTTCTAAAATGACAGAGAGGCATCATGTTTAAACGCTGGTTTTCTGTTTTAATGCTAGAGCTTATTTGTTTCTTACTGAGCGTACAGACTCAATAGCGGTATGATACTTCTCTACTTTAAAAGAAATGTGCTGAAATGTTTCTTTATGATGTGAACGAGGTTTTATTGGATGAAGGTTGAACAGTGTTTTGCCACACAGTGCCAATGCCAGTGTAAGTAGATCATTTTACAGACCATGGTTGTGTTTTGTGGGTTATTCTGAAATACTTTAAAGCCTGGTAGCTTTTTGAACATGCGTTTTTTTTTTAATGTGTGTTCATGTACGAGTGTGTGTTTGTGTGTCTCCACTCCACTCAGCTCATTGGTATCCTAATGAAGGTGTTGAATAAGAGCTGACCTATCCCGACCTCTTCTTCTCTGCTTCTTCCTTCACCCGTTTCCATTCATCTTCTAATAATGAGAATCTAATTACACTCAATTATAACAAGCTCTCTCTCTCCCTCCCACACTCTCTCTCTCTGTCTTTGCTCTCTTTATCTTCATCCCATTTTCTTCCCCACATATCTGTCTCTATCTCTACCTAAGGCTCTACATGTGCTCATTCAATCCCACCTTCTCTCCCTCGTTATTTCAGCCTTCCTACCATCTTTGAAAGGCTTTGTGTGTCTGTTAGTCAGTCTTACAGTAATAGTTATGATAGAGCCAAAGTAGTCAAAACCACGCATGCACTCTCTTTATCACATTTAACACCACTCCCTACAGTCTTGTTTAACACCTTTATTTATGACATCCTTCTTTCTGTCTCTGTTCATCTGATTTTCTCTCTTTTCAGCCGTGTCACTCACTTTCATCTTACTCTGTTTTCTCATCTCTTTTTACCTCCTGCTTCTTTTTACACCCTGCGTTCTCCTTTTATTTTTGTGTGTACCATCTGTATCATGTCAGGTGGGGAAGATTGTTTGATCCTGAATCTTTCAAATCTGATTAGCTCTCTGATAGCTGTAGTTTATTCCTCCCTCTCCTTTCCTGTCGTCAATCACGTCTCTCTTCTCCGGCCTCAGGTTCTGCCCTCAGCAGTGAGTCATCTCCCGTCTCTTCTCCGGCCACCAGCCACACCTCACCTGTCACCACCCCTAAGCGGGGCTCTTTAGTGCCCCTTCTGGGTCAGACCAGGGGCCACAGTGTCCCCAGCACCCCTCCGGTGGTCACCATCGCGCCCACAAAGACGAGCAACGGCCTGTGGCGAGCAGACGGACGTCAGGTTAGACATGTCATTTATCAAGCTCGCTGGTTTTCCAGACAAGTTTAAAACGAGACATCTGCTATTCTGTGTCTGGCCTTTTTTGCTCGTTTCTCCTTTTTTAGTTTCTCTTTGACTCTTTCTCTCTTGATTTCTCTCAGCAGATGTGTTGTCTGTCTCTTTCTGTCTCCCAGTGTGTCCTCCATTAAAGAAATAGACCCAGAGTTTTTCTACATTACTGTCAAAACCAGCTGTCCCCTCTGTTTCTTCAATTCTGTCCCTCTATTCTTTCACTCTCTTTTTCTGTCTTGTCTTATTCTCTCATTCCTTATCCTCACACTCCCCCTCCCCCACCTCACCCCTTCCTCTTCCCAGTCCACGTCTTTTGCAGCAACACATGAGGGGTTTGTAAAGAAGCTGTGGAGGCTGCAGAGACTGGCACCTATTGTGTTCAGCTTCCTGCACTGTTGGTGTGTCAGTGTGTGTGTGTGTCTGTGTGTGTGTACTTGACCCTTCACCACAAAAGGGCGAAGGATGTGAAGAGGGACCTGTGTGCAGGAGTTTGTGTGTGTCTGTGTGAGTGAGTCTAAGGTGGGGCAAGGAACCAGGCACCCTCACACAATGCAGGGGTGAGCCCCCACAGTCGCCACTTCCCCCAGGATCAGAGCGCCCTTTCTCCCCCTTCACAAAGACCACTCTGTGGCTCTGCCTGCCCGGGGCTCCCATTCAGACATTTAGAGGGAAAGACGGAGGGAGGGAGGCAGGAAAACAGAGAATAGGATGTTAAAAAGGAGGCGAGGGAGTGTAAGAATAAGCAAAGAGATTTAGTGTTTGTCCTTAATGTGTGCAGCTTGTCCTACAGGAGGACTTTCAAAAGAGACAGTTTCTGGTCGCCTATCTGTGAAGGCTGCCCGAGAGGTCAGAGGTTAAGGAATGTGGTGGCTGCTCTCCAGACTGTCTGTGTTGTCCAAACTATTGAATACAGATTGTTGAATGATAGAGAGAGGTTTAGAGAGAGGATATGCTGATGGTCAGAATCTGCTTTCCATGAGCAGCACATTCAAAACTATTCAAAACACATGCAAAGTGCAGAAACATCACTGCGAATCAAGTGTTGTACTAAACTCAGGTTGCAGATTGGGTGTTGCTGGCGTAAGTCATTTGTTTGTGGTTTGTCTGAGGTCAATATGACCTGGACTGCTGTCTGTTGCTGTAGCAACAAGACATGGAGTGAATGTGAAATTTTCTATCCATAAACGTACAATATCGTAGTGTCACTTTACTGTCAACACTTAATTTAAAGAATTTAGGCAACAGTGTCTGTTTAAGCACAGCTGAGTTGGTACTTAAACCAGAGAAAAACATCATTACTTTGCTGACTTTTCACATCATCAGATCCAAATCCGATTTTATCCAAAGGATTATTTGACATTCATTTTTTATGACCATTCAAGGTTTTTATTTGGTTATAATCAGCTAAGGATCAAAACATCTGTCTGCAAATGAATCCTCTAAGTGTGAATCTCTCAGGCAGACAGCGAGAGCGAGCAGTGAAGGAGAGCGCAGTTGGCCAGATATAGGTTCATCTTTCCACCTTGATCTTGACCTCTTTGACATATCAGACCCACTTTGGTACTCCGCTGAGCCTCTGAGTACAGCTCAGGGAGGTTTGACTCAGTCACTCTTTCTCATTTCCCTCTCTTCTTTTCACTTTCCATGGAGCGCACACTCACAGCTCTTTCTCCGTCTGCCTCCCCCCGTCAGGCTGAGCCAAGGGTTCAGGGTCTAAGCCGGGAGCGAGCAGGTGCTGAGAACACCCAACCTCAGCAAGACAGCAGGACTACACCCACCTCTTCACTTCATCCTCTGGCTCACCCCTTTGGCCTCACCCCTAGCTCTGTCATGCAAGACCCCAGGTTACAGAGCCTCAGGTAGGTGTAGCATGCTCATATTAAAGCTCTGTGTACAACTTTAAATGCAGGGCTATTTTTAAAGCGGGATAACCTTTTAATTTATCACTGCCTCTACTGGTTCTGCAGTTTACCTGGGCAGATGCATCCTGTGGTTCCCTCGGGTGCTGTCCCAGAAGAATACCTGAGAGCGCTCCGGCCCTTCAGCAACTCGGATGATCTCCGACTCACCTCTTTGCCCCTGAGTTTAGACCCTGCTGCTGCCGCCCACGCCGCCGCTGCAGCTGCTGCTGGGTACTACCATCCTGCTTACCTACACCACCCACTGTCCTTACCAAGGTAAAAACACCACCTTAGACCTTAAAGGGATATTCCAGCATAAATTAAAGTAGGGTCAAAGCACCATAACACCGAGTTAGATACCCTGTCGAGAGATGAATGTTGCTGACTGCTTATTTCTGTAGTTATACCAACTTTAGTAACGACCGCAGGATAGCAATACAGAGAGCCACGCGCTCAACCAAAAAGCAACTCTATAGCCACAAATAATACTCAAAACAGCACCTAACTTCATCAACAGTAAATATAGGGTCCTAGCCACAGTACTAGTCATCAAACATCTTTTTAACTTTGCTTAATTTCTTTAGCAAAGAGACTAAACACATCTCACCTACTCTCTTCAAGCAGCCGCTTGTTTGTACAGAGGCTTGCGGGTGAGTCCGCAGCAGGGGGACGCAGCTCAAGGAAGAACATTTACGATCATTTCTTTATCATTTCCTTGAAGTAATAATCATCATATTAATAATTTTGCACTGCAGATGCAGTAGTTCTTCTGCCTTAGCGCCCCGGTCTGATTGCATTTCCATGAGGAAATTATCATAAATGTTCTTCCTTGAGCTGCTTCCCCCTGCTGCAGTCGATGGACTCGCTCAGAGGTCTTTGTACAAACAAGCGGCTGCTGGAAGAGAGTAGGCGAGTTGTGTTTAGTCTCTTTGCTAAAGAAATTAGGCAAAGTTAAAAAGATGTTTGGGGGCTAGTGCTATGGCTAGGACCCTGTATATACTGTTGATGAAGTTAGGTGCTGTTCTGAGATTATTTGTGGCTATAGAGTGGCGTTTTGGTTGAGCTCGTGGCTCTCTGTATTGCTATCGTGCGGTCGTTACTGAAGTTGGTATAACTAGAGAAGCAAGCCGTCGGCAACATTCATCTTTCAACAGGGTGTCTAACTCAGTGTTACGGTGTGTTTGACCCTAACTTAATTTTACGCTGGAATATCCCTTTAAGTCACCTCACAGAACTTTACATAGATTTATATTTAGAGATATTTTACTATTTTTTAACTGGGGTTGTTAATGTTACATGTCACTTTCTGTGCCTTAGGATGGAGGAGTCCCTGTGTCTTTCTGCGCTGCGGTCACAGTTTTACTCTGTGCCTGCAGGGGGTGCCTTTCCTCCCCTCCACCACTCTGCCCTCCACCTGCACCTGCCTGGAGGCCGCTACCCTGGAGAACTGAACCATGCGGCGCTTGCTGAGAGGTAACACACACACACACAAACACAAGCCCGCACACAGGAATATATGCACACTACTGCTCTCATCTCTTTGTCTGCAGGGCTGTGTGTGTAATCTCTCTCTGCAGGGTAGGCACAGGTTGCTGAGTGTGTGATATTTTTAGCACACACCCCACAGAGCCTCCTATACACTTATCACACATACTGCCCTTCACACATACAAACTGCACATGAGATTTGACACACGTGATCACGAGCGAGTCTGCCTTGTGCTTCTTTAAGCAGTTTGTAGGGTCACTGTGCAAATTGTTTCCCTGCTGCATCATTCACGAGGGAAATGTTTGTGTTTGGATGGTATTTATCAGGTTTCTGTAATGGCTCCTGTGTTTCCTGGAGGTTTGTTTGTGTGCTATTGATTGCTGGTGAATGTGCTCAGCTGTGTATGGAAGTGTGTGTGTGTGTGTGTCCTTTTTCCTGTGGATACCTATTAAGTGTTCATCTGCTCTTGCTCAGTCATGCTGTGTATGGATTATTTTCCTTGTGGCAAGTGGTGAGTCTGTGTGCATATTTGTGTGTGTCTGCATGTGTGTGTGTGTGAGCAGAAATGTTTGTGTGGGGTTCACCAGTGTGTGGTTAATATCTGCCTCATGTTGGGTGTTGCATCTCTCACCTTCTCCCCTGTGTGTGTGTGTGTGTGTGTGTGTGTGTGTGTGTGTGTGTGTGTGTGTGTGTGTGTGTGTGTGTGTGTGTGTGTGTGTGTGCGTGTGTGCGTGCTCACTTGTCAACCTCCCCCACAGGCTGCAGATGGAGAATGAGCTCCGCCAGCGAGAGAGACAGCAAGAGTGCGAACGAGAGAAAGAAAGGGAGCGCGAGGCAGGGCTGGAGCGCGAGAGGGAGAGGGAGAGGGAGAGGGAGAGGGAGAGAGAGGAGGAGAGGGGGAGAGAGCGGGAGAGGGAGAGGGAGCTGGACAGACAGAAGGAGAGACAGAGGGAGAGACAACAGCAGATGGTCAGAGCGGCAGAGAGCCACTACCTGGCTGAGCTGCAGGCTCGGAGGGCACCACCGGAGGACAGGGCCCGGCCAGGAGAGAGGCTGACCCCGAACAGACTGGGTACCTACATGCAAACACACACGGCACATGACACGTATACAACCATGTCTGCAGAAAGACATACACGTGCAGACAGAAACAGTTGGAGAAACACACCCTGTTACAAATCCAGCATTGTGGATGGCAACCTGATGAAGGAAACAAAAACTGATAATTAATTAATAGACTAGAAGTTCAGTCAAGTGTTAGAGCTTTAGGAAGTTATAAACACTATACCATTAGCATTATGCCAGCCCCAAACCCCCATGAGTTACGACTGTCTTCAGCCTAGCTTCAGCGCTGAGGAAGTTCCTGGTATTGTTTTTATTCTCTTCTATTAGGTGGTTGTGGTTGCGTGCTGCAGGGCGTCAAAATACCCTGTTTTTGAAAGGGAGAAATCAAAAGAGATCTGATAAAAGAGGAGTTTGTGGGATGGATTGACACCCATAAGTTGTACGTTTTAAGGCCATATGCCAGAACAAAGTTGAGGGTGTGATGAAGAGATTAGTTTTCAAAGACTTTGAAGCTCACCAGCAGAGCCAGGGAGTAGATTCATAGTTAATTGTGAGTTAGCAATGAATTTCAACCTCTTTGAATACCCTGTTACACTACTCCAAAAGGTTTATGTGTGAAAATGTCACTGGATTTTTTTGGAAAACCTCCCCGAGCGTTTATGTTGGAGATGCATGAAAATATTCTCTCTGAGGTGCTTAATGATGCAAGTAAACAAATCTACAAATGCTCGTCAACTTGTAAATTTTTTTTTCTGTTTTATCAGATAAAACCAAGGACACAGAGCACCCGGGTTTCACCGCACCCAAACATCTGTCCTTGCAGCCCAACCTTCACTCCTCCAGAGGCTCCATTCCCCACCCTTTGCCCAGCCTGGTGCCCTCTCACATGGGGAAACATCACGCTGCAGCTGCTGGAGGCATCCATGGGGCTCTGGCAGCCGCCATGATGACACAGAGGGCCAGTGAGGCTGCGTGGTTGACGCGGCAACGGGGACATGAGAGGGAGAGTCCACTAGAGATGGGCCTTAGGTCACCTGGGAAAGGGGTGGAGCCAAGGAGAGACACACAGACCCGCAGGTGAAAAATGTGCTCCAACAAAGTCGATATATTCTAATGTGTGGTGGAGTAAGACTTGAAGTTTTAATGTTATTTATTTTATTTTATTTTAACAGAAACAGTTCCATCCATCACAACCCAAGCAGCAAAGATATACCTCCCCTCCTTGGTGCCCCCCCTCCCCTAATCTCACCTAAAGGTCCCCATCACCACCCTGCACCTCCGACTACACTGTGGAACCCTGCCTCCCTCGTCGACACTTCCGCTGATCCCCGCAGAAAACTCAATCCTCCTACTCTGCCAAGTCGGCCTCCTCCAGGACTTACCAGAGCCGAGAGACCCCCCCTGAGCTGGGAGGAGAAGCAAGAAGAAGGTGGCAGGAGGGGGGCAGATGGCACAGATAGGTTCACCTTACTGAGGGAAGCAAGTTTACCAAAAAATGGATCTTGGAGCAGGATGGAGCAGGACAGAACCACCCAGAGTCTTTATCACACCAATAACCTCCACCAGAGACCCTCTGCACCTCCTCCTGTTCACAGGAGCTGCACTGACCGGGCAGCGTCTCCATGTCCACCGCGGCAGAGTCAGAGTCAGGTGCCTGACAGCATGCTGATGTACGATGAAGTTCTCCATCAGCATCGCAGGCTGCTGAGTAAACTGGACCTGGAGGAGAAGAGGAGGAGGGAGGCCAGAGAGGGAGGTGAGGATGCCAGGGAGGGGGTTCATGAGTAGGCGGGGGAGATTGTAAGCTGAAGGAAAGAGTTATTGTCACAGTGACTGGGCAAAATGTTCAAATGACAGTGCAAGTTGTCGAAGAATTCGTGAAGATTTCTCAACACTTTCCAATTTCTCATTCTGTGTTACACTTGCAGATATTTCATCACATTTAGAAACATGACCAAAAACTTTTCACTAAACTGAACTTTTAAGCATCATACAGGTCTTAACGATCTGTGCTGATGGAGACAGGATCATGTCATTTTTCACTCACAGCAGAGTCTTTCCATGAGGCACAGTCTGTAGAGGCATTCATTTGAACAAATATGGGGTAGTGATAATATCTTTGAGGCAAAACTTTCCCAGAGAGAAATGAAAACACTGTTACAGAATTTTTGAATGATAATTATTCCTTTCTCGTGCCTCTCTCCAGGTTACTACTACGACCTTGATGAGTCATACGATGAGAGCGATGAAGAGGAAGTCAAAGCTCATTTGAGGAGAGTCACAGAGCAGCCGCCACTCAAACTGGACACAAGCTCAGAGGTGCAAAAACACAAACTACAAACACGCATACATACAGTAGACTCAGTGTGGAAATGCTCTGATGTTAAAGTGGACTATTTATTTTCCTCCAAAGAAAGTGGATTTCTTGGGGGTGTGCGGTCTGACCACACTCGCCCATCGAGATGAGCTCCTGGCCTGTAAGAGGAGGAAAAGGAGGAGGATGATGAGAGAGCGTAGCGTTTCTCCGCCAGCTGTTCAGGGCAAGAGAAAGTCCTCTTCACCTATCACACCCTCAGTTACCTTAACTACCCCATACTCTGCTGAGCAGATGGACAGCACCCCTAAACTCGAGGAGAAGAAGGACTTCCTCCTTATGTTCAACCTCTCTCATGTCAGTCCGCAGAAGAGGAAAGGTAAAACCTGTTTTTAAATCCCATCACATCCTTTGAGCTACACCGCTGTGCTCGCAGTTGTTCCAGTGATTACCAGTGGAAAAAAGGAAATATTTTAAATATCTGTCATATTCTGAAATTATTGGCAAAACCAAATGTATTTTCCATTTTGTGAATTAATCAAAAGTCCATCTAAAACACGGTACAGGCTCAGATAAGCACTTGTATTACATTGTGATCTGCATGCAGTAGTGGACATATGACTCGTTTCTTATCTGTTATCACTAAATTGCTGCATCTTATCAAATGCAAAAACACAACGTGATATAGGCGTCATTTAGTAGCTCTCCTGCTTGCAAACCTGCTCCGTAATTTTTGGACATATAGACGCATCATACCGAAGTGCCGGTTTTAACCACTCACCCAAAATGGCGCCATGTATTCTGAATTTTTTTAATCTCTTCCTTAAGGAGGAAAGGATAGTGGAGAGAGCAGGAAATAGGGGGACAGAGTGGGACATGACATGCAGAAAAGAGACTGCAGGGACAAAGAGAACCAGGGGCAGCCTGATTCAGTATCGTAGCCTCCTCTGTTTGTGGGTTAGGGTTATATGACCCTGAGCACTAAGACAAACAGATGCCCCGCTGGTGCCCTAACTTGATGGAATATTAAAAAATGTACTTTTTACTATTATTAAATGATTATTTTAAGGTTTGATAAATTGTTGGAATAGAGCCTGCAGTGCAAAATATCTTGTAATTTTTGTATTGTGATGACTTTCTTTGTGGAACAGTGGTGTATCATCATTTTTGTTTCATCTCAAACTTTCTTCCCTAACTGTAAAAGGTCATCAGATGAGAAGACAAATGTATTTTTTTCTCATATAAAAAAGTCTATATTTGTCTCATCTGCGATAAAATCTTGATGAGGACAAAAATACACAGTGGAAGCCTCTCTGCCTCTCTTCGATGAGAACCATGGCCTGTATATGTACTATAGAGACTTTCCATCAAACGTCTGTGGCCATTGTCTGTCTGACATAGCCTCCATTTATCTATTTACTGACCTTTTTCTGCCAGTTGCTTCTGTTGGTCAATATTTCATAATCTTTTCCTCTGATATGATTGGCAGGTGTTCTCATTCTGTCTTTTTCTCTGCAGATAAGGAGAGGACGGAAGAGCTGCTGAAGGCCATTCAGAGGAAAACTGTGACGTTAGACACACTCAGATATAATCCCTTACCTCTGTACAGCAGTCCTTCTGCCCCCTCAGCAGGTGAGACACACACTTAAACATTAAAACACAAAAATGTAAATTCTTGTAAGAAGATTTCTAAGAACTTCTTTAAATGTAATTTCAGGCGGCTCCTCTTCAGCCAGTCCGTCGTGTCACTCAAATGGTCATCCATACCCAGAGTCCCCCAGCCCCTCCCCTCCTCACCTACACAAACCTCAACATCTCCGCCATAATGACACATTCAAATCCTCTGTGGACTCCCATGTCACTCGTATCCCTCCACCATTGACCCAAGGGGAGGCTGAATTCACTGACAAGATGCCTCAGGGCATCCAGAACGGAGTTGCTGCTTGCCCTCTGAAAAAGGAGCCCAGTCCTGTACAGAACGGACAGAGTCGGCCATCTGAGAGGTTTACACCTGAGACCTTCGCTCAGCACTTCCACCAGGCTGTGCTTCAGTCCACACACACTCTACACAACAAACGTTAGTGACTTAACTCCTGTAAATGTAGATGTTTGCCTGACTGTGAAAAAATGAGGATGTTGTGCCACCTAGTGGTGCTAATATGAGATTACTGTTCAACGACAGAACGGGCTGACATTTCTTTTATCTTCACTCTTCCTCCTCAGGGTTTTCAAACATCAGCTCTGAGGCCAGTATAAAATCAGACCGCTCGCTGCCCCTCAACATCTCTCAGCTGAAAAACTCAAACCATAACCACGTCCTTCAGCAGGCGCAAATTAACGGACACCATATTACTGCAACCAGTGGAAAACTTCCTGGAGCACAAGAAAACCAGTTTGATGATGATGAGGAGGAGGAAGAGTCTGATCAAGAGGGGGTAGAGGAAGAGGAGGAAGTAGAAGAGGCTCCAAAGAAGTGGCAGGGTATTGAAGCTATATTCGAGGCCTTCCAGGAGTACACTGATGGTGAGTCAATGTTACGTCAGCATTACGAAAACCTCAGCCTTCTCTCAGAGAGCTTTTAGGTATCAGTCAAGAGCTGTTTCTGCATACTGTCTTCAAAAATTGATGTTCGAGCTGTTTACCTTTAACACAGAAACATAACAAGAACTTTACAATAATCACTTTGATTGGTTTATATTTTTTATTGTTTGGGGATCAATAAAAAAAATAATACAAAGATTGTTTGATACAAGTTTGCACATCTATTCATAGTTAAGATGTTGGGGTGAGCTTTTCACCTGTTCATTGCTTTTCAGAGGTTTATCGTAGTTTATTATGTAAGGCGTAGTGTGCAGTGAACCTGTGGGTGTGCAAAATTAAGTCCCAAGTCCTGACAAGATGAGACAAAATTGTGATGCTTGTCTCACCCTAATTCACATATCCACCAGCTCATTTTGCATTATAATGCTTATCATCTGGTTGCCATTTTAAAATACTCACTAGCTTACAGTGGGTGAAGTATAATTTTTCTGGTTAAAAATGATTAATTCAAACAACTTAAAAAAAGGAAACAATTCCTCAGACTCCACAGTTGGTTGTGCTTCCATGGCAACGATATTCTTATCAGTCTACCCTCAGTTTGAAACTTTAAATTACAACAAGTTTCAAATCCATTCACAACAAAGTAAAAACATTTGCATTTTTTGTATTCTCATGATTTTGCTTCAGGAGAGATCAAATGTTCCAAAACTGCTTCCTGAGGATTGAGCTGAGATGACCTGTGTGAGCAGGTTGTCTCTGATGTTGTGTTTACCATTCAGAATTAATTACTGTTATTATTGGTGTTTAACCAATCAGAATTAAGTATTCAACACAATCAGGGGGTCAGTAAGAAATCCAGGTAACAATGGTTTTAATGACTTGTTTTTACATTGGCATCTACGGTAGACACATGTAAATAATCATTTTTGTGAAAGTGTAGATGAGGAATTATGAGGGAGCTTTGGTTGGGATGCTTTTGTTTCTCTTTTCTCATAATCCTTCTCTTTTTGTCTCTCTGTCTGTACAGAGTGGAGTATAGAAAGGCAGGTCCTTCACAGTCAGTGTAAAAGACTTGAAGCACAGAACTACAATCTGACCAGAACTGCAGAGCAGCTCTCTCTCACCATGGGGGTAAGTATCTGAGACCATGCCCTACCTCTCTGTGCCTTGTACATTCCTCTTTCATCCTATTTTCATGCCAATTTTACAGTGTTTGTTTTGCACTCTTGTTTTAAGTGAGCTAAAGCAGCTTGATGCATTATGTGTCGCCTCTAATGAGAGTCCTGTTTGTCTTCGATTTGTCAGGATCTGGTGAGTCAGAGGCAGAGAGTGAGGGAGGAGAGGGAGAGACTGCAAGCCCAGCTTGAGCACTTCAGGAGGTGTCTGACACTACCCAGCATTCACTGGGGCCGGGGGCAAGTCAACGGTCACACGCCCAGGTGACCTCTGAATCTGTCTTTTGGAAAGTTCTGCCCCTGACAGCAAAGGAACAATAACAAGGACAAGACAGACTGGAGCCCCAGCACTGTCTGCACCTGAAGCACTTGAAGGAGCCAATCCTTGTCTTGTTATGCCTTTAAGGCTGACTGGTGATGTTACCTGCCTGGTTACAGATTCAACTGGTTAGCTACCATGTTAGTAACAGGGACCATAAGGTATAAGCAGTCTCTCTGTGCCTGCTCGGGGATGGTGACAGCACTGTGTAGGTGAAACAGCATCTTTATCAGTCACATTAACCTCACCCACTTATCTCTGAGCTGAACTCTGCATCAGCTTTACACAAACTCTATCAATCCAAACTAACGTCACTTGGCACAAACCTGTAGCCTCTCTGGACAGAAGTGAGGGGAGACGAAGCTGTGGTCACTTTTTGTACACTCAGAACAGGAGAGTTGAGACGAGGAATCAAGGTACACCTCAGGCCTTAAACTGGATGTATGCACTTGAAATAATCGGAGGAAATACTTGACTGTCTTCTGTGTTGTGGTGTAATGTTGTAGTGTTTTCTAAGCACTGTATCATGTGCGGGAAAAGGATACAGAAACTAAAAGATTATCTATTTAACAGACGATGGATGCTATTACTAGCATTTTTTGAGGTTCAGTAAATTTTTTCATGTGACTTCTGGGGATAGAAGAAGAGTTTTGTAGGTTTTGTTTTCATCAGTTCTAGTAGGAAGCTTTATGCTTTGTTTGATTTGAAAAGCTGCTGGTCAGAACACATTTAGAAAGTGAAGGATGCTAGAGCTGTTGTGTTTTTAAAATTTTATGTAATATCAAAATGTTTGGGGTTGACAAAAATGCACACTGCATGGAGGACAACATGGCAAATATCAGTCTTATTCTCATAACACTCTCAAGCCATGAGAGTCTTTGTCCTGAGCCCTCCACATGCCTATAAATGTTGATGAAACTTGAACAAAAGATTTTTTAATGATATTTTCCAACATAACAGATGTTCTTAGATAAATGGCATCACTTGAGTGAAACCACCCTTGACACATTGTCTAACTATAAAAATGTTTTCACCAACATGTAGATGATTTCTTGTGGCATTATTTTGAAAAATACATCAAGCGGGTTTTTATGGAAATAGAAAAAGTCAAATTATTATTCCACTTTTTTTCCAGCACTGTGTCAAAGTTAATATTCTTTACTCTGAGAGTACTTGAAAACTATTCTCTGATTCTTTATGAGTGACATAAACATCCAAATGACACCATCCCCCTGTGGATAACAATAAACAGTCTCTATTTTGGTCTTTTGAAGAGATTTATTTTTGTTCGAGCCAGCTAAAATAATGTCACAGACTCATAATTCCTGCCTCTTTTCCTCTAAAGATTAAAATCCCAGGAGCCCTTTCCAAGAAGCTACAGTAGCAGATGACTTGTCTATGTCACCTCCTGTGACATCCTGCATATTTGTTTGAATAATTTGTTATGTAATGTATTATTTGGGCTGTATAGTTGTGATGAATTATTTATTAACATATTGCCGTAAATTCTGATAAAGATTTACATTAAATATCGTAAAATGTCTTTAATGGCTCCTGTCATGAATCTTATGAGAGTTGCATTAAAGTGTGCCATGCTTGCTCTGACACAGGTGAGGACGACTTGATTGTACACTGTGTAAAAGGCTTCAGAAAGCGTTACTTTGGAATAATTATACACTATTTTATGATGCTTGGACTGATTTGTGTTTTAATTATCCAGATGCAAATGAAACACTTAAAATCTTGAGTCAGACCAGGGTGCTTAAACCAATCTGCGCTGTCACAGAGGACAGATTAAAGTAAGAGAAGGGACAGTGATAATTAGCAGCGCAGCAATCAGACATTATTTAGAAAGGTTGACCAGGTAGGCATGGGGCTTTCAACAATTTCCATCAAAGTACAAGATGGCTTTATGAATTATACTGTATAACACTTAAAATCAGTTTAGCCTCCTAGAGTAATGGCATCAATTACATTTGCTCCATTTTGAACACTTACAACATGAGAATACATATAGTACATGCGCAGAAATGGACTCACATTGTTTACTCTGCATACATTTTATTAGTTTTTTAACTTTTGTGTTATGGCTATTTTAAAAAATTTGAGTTAAAACAAAAATTTGATCATAGCTCCTCTATTGTAGAAGAAGGAAATGACAACCACATGTAAGTGAAAATTACACTTTGTTTCTCCTTTCAGACACAAACTGCTGAATGACAGAACTTTCAGTCATGTTGTAACAATATAAAACAAAGTCCTCATCAGCCAATTCATCAGTTTTATACACTTTTACATGATAGTTAATCTCAGATATGATACAGGATTCCCATACAGAGGCATGTCCACTCCTTTTGTTTCACCTTATTTTTGCCAAAGGTGAACAGTTAGTATTGCATAATCAAAATCAGCTCCAGTACAGCAACAAAAGGACATAAAATAAACAAAATTCATATGTAGAGACAACATCATTGAGTTTCAGTGATAAAGGTGGGGTACTGTAGCACATGGTTGAAAGCAGGGAATCCTTAGCTTGAAAAAAGGACCATCATGTGAAAATACAAAAGCTGACATTTATGGGAATTTCCTGAAGCTATTTACTTGGTTTCTGGATGGCGATGAGCAGAAAGTCGTTCTCTGTAGAGAAATATAAAGAGGTAGAAAAAGTAAGGCCAAAAAGTGCTATAACTACTGTATGTCAACAGTAAGTCAACATCAACAGTGCTACTTTCACTGTCTCACCTGGTGAAGCCAAGATTTCATGTTCTTTGGTGCGAATGCGGAGAAAAGTGAGGTCATTTTGAGGATCAATGTCCCTCACTGTGCTGCGAGCCATCATGGAGAGCTGGTGAAAAAGTGATGCATACCTGAGTGTGGTGGAGTTATCTAAAGTTGTTCTGATGGGTATGCCTGAAAATCACAAGAATCTTAGTCATTTTAAATAATAAACATGTTTACATTTTAACTGTTTTTCTGTGTGTTTAATTTTTTTCACCTTCTGCATTGACGACTATTGTTCCAATTACACCTTTGTGGTTTTCAATCCTTTTCAGTGTTTCCTCAACTTCAGCCTGCAGGATGAAATTAAGATAGAGTCATTTTGATTTAAGATTAGTTCAGGGAATATAATCAAAAATAAATAAATATAAAAAACATTCAGGATGTTTGATTGTTTTAAATTATAGCTTCTAATGGTACAAGTTATAATAATAATAATAATAACTTTATTTTTATACCACAAGCATCAGCACATAGGAATAAAAACAAATAAAAAACAAAAGCTCAGTTAAAAACAAGGCCTCCGAATTGAAGGCCAATTTCATTTGTCAGAAGAAACCCAGACAATACAAGAACCCTACAAAATAAAATGAGACCATGAGGACCAAAATAAAAACATAAAATAGGTAAGAAAAGAAAGAAATGTGATAAAAAGGGGGGTAGAAAGCAGGAAACCGGATAGTAATTATAAAAAGATCATATTAATAATGATAAGAAAATCATAATAAAATAATAATGATGGTAATATTAATGATGAAATGGAATAACAAAAATTAGCAGGAAAAAACAATAGAAGGCCTAAAAGGTTAAATAAGAAAAGATTATAAGTAAAACAAAGGCTAAAAGGACAGTAATTTGAAATAAGATAGAGGTAAAAGAGATAAAAGATAAAAGAAAAGAATAAAGAGAAAAGATACTACTGCTAGTGTGTCAGTTGTTCTTCCCCCACTGGGAGCAGAGCTCGTTTTACTATTTACAATGGATTCTACTCAGAGCGTCTGTACACAGAAATAATATAAAATAATATAAAACACAGAAATATAACTAAATTTAAAGAACACGAAATATAAAGAAAAACGTCAACATAAAAAATATCTACAATAAAATTTCACTTGTGCTCAGTTCCTACCATTTTGAAATCGCAGTCCGTGGCAGACTCTTCTCCTGCCTCACTTTGCGTCTTTCTGTTGTCAAGAGCAACGGAAAGGACGTCAGACGTTAGCGGAAGCGTAACGGCGCCGTCATTGTGTGGAGCCAGGTTGTTAGCTGTTTATCGTGTACTGCGAAAATGCCGGAGTTAGCGGTGGAAAATGTGGTCGTTCACCCCTTGGTGTTGCTCAGCGTGGTCGATCATTTTAACAGGTAATATTTGTTTTCAGTCTTCGCGGTGGTTGGGAGTTAAGATGTCTTTAAGTGAGACGTTACAGCGAGGCTAAGCTAATGCTAGCCCTGCTGAGTCAGAGCCCCATTGAGAATGAACGGAGATGACAAAGCTAGTTAGCACACTGAGATGAGTTTAGTTTGTTTCCCTTTCATTTGAATTTTATTTTTTCAAAAAATACGATATGATTGTTAATGAATTTAACGTGATGGTAACGTAGGTCACTGTAATGTTTACGGTTTCATTCATATGTGTGTTTGTGGGTGCAGCTCTTTGCAGAGGCTATGTTAGCCGTCTGCGTATGTGAGTTTTGTGAATAATCATGATAAATCAAATTGTTTTCTTTACAATTCAATCTCCAGGATAGGGAAAGTGGGTAACCAGAAACGGGTGGTCGGTGTCCTGCTGGGATCGTGGCAGAAAAAAGTTCTCGATGTCTCAAACAGTTTTGCAGGTAAGTAATAATAAGACAGAATGAAACAGACTAAACTCATATCAGAGTCCAAGGAAACTCATTTATACTGTTAAGCTTTTAATCTACAACATGATCCACATCCTACAAACTTTTCACATTCACAACTCCAAGACCAATACTCTCTTACTGTTTTCACTCACTGGATTGGTGACTGATCATGGGTAAAATAAATGGTGGACCAGCAACTCAGGCATTGTCATCAGTGTTGCCAGATTAGATTGACAGTTTCCAGCCCAAACCACCAAGTTGCCAGACACCCATGTAAACCTGTAAAATCATAACACATCCAATAGAAAATGCTCGGAAGTATCAAGAACGTCATATAGCATCAAATAACCACACATAAATGATAAATAGGTTTAATTGCAACAAACAAGAGTGCAGTAAATCAACCATAGGCTACATAAATTGCAAGATGAACCTCTGGCATCCTAGCGCCAGGCCCAGATTAGTAATAATGACTGCTGCACGTAAAAAGGTGCACTTTTAAACATGTAGGCCGAATAAATTTAATTATTTACATCACAAATGACTCCTATGAGGACTACTTGCAAAACAATTTAAAACGAACAAAAATGCATAGAGCGCCACTTCCTCACTCCCCCTCTTTTTCTCCTCCCTGCTTTGCACACCTGTGGTGCTGAAAGACGCACATGACCTGGCCATAAAGCATCTGATTGAGATTTCAAACACACAACCAAGAAATACTAGTTTTAAAATAAATGAGCAAATGCTAGAATTGGGCTACAAATCAGTCACAGTGCAAATACGTTAAGGTGACATAAAAAAATCATCTTACCTTTGACGCAGAATCAGCGTTCTCACAATATTGAGAACAAAAAACTTTTTACAGTCGCTGGAAGGCAGGCTGGCTGGCTGATACATTTAAAAATCATACCTCACCAACAACTGTCGGTGTATTTATTTAATTATTTTTTAAATAGAGAGAGAGCGAGAAAGAGAGCTGTTTTCACAATATTAAAAACTAGCCAAATGTGGACAAAAGCAGCCCAAATTTTATTCACCCACCCAATATATTTTTTCCCCGCCTGACGTAAACAAAAGTAGCCCAGTTGGGTGGAAAACCGCAGAATCTGGCAAAACTGATTGTCATGACTGCTGCTTTACAATATAAAACAAACGAATTCCTATTGGTTGCAAAAGTGGTATTCCTTCTCTAGACAGGAACAAGTTTAGTCAATATCTTAATTCTTACTCATTGTTCCCCTTCAGTGCCATTTGACGAGGATGACAGGGACGACTCAGTGTGGTTCCTCGATCACGACTACTTGGAGAACATGTACGGCATGTTCAAGAAAGTTAATGGTGAGATCAAGCCTGCGTGTGCATAATTGACAGCTCTATTGTATTTCAAAACATGTGAATAACCTTTTTTTTTTTTTTTTTTTAAGCCAGGGAAAGAATAGTTGGATGGTACCATACAGGACCCAAGCTACACAAGAATGACATTGCCATCAATGAGCTTATCAAGCAGTACTGTACCAATTCGGTATGTCACTGCATATTCTTTTCCCCCACTTTGTGTGTATGTGTTGGGAAATCATCTAATAGTTACTTTTTTATGTGGAATAAATATTTTCCTATTATCCCACCAGGTGTTAGTAATTATAGATGTGAAGCCCAAAGATCTTGGTCTACCAACAGAAGCATACATCTCTGTGGAGGAAATACATGATGTAAGTATACAGTTAATTATGAAGCAGATCCTTTTTTTTTTGGCCAATTTTAAAAGTTGAAAAAAAAATCACTCTGGGAGTTTTAGAGGATTGTAGTTTTTCCCCTTTAATGCGATTTGACAATAATCAAGCATGTCATTGTTTGACATCTTGTTCTTTAAAACAATTAAAAACCTTTCTAATTTATTGTTTCTAGGACGGCACTCCAACATCCAAGACATTTGAACACGTCACCAGTGAGATTGGAGCTGAAGAAGCAGAGGAAGTGGGTGTGGAGCACCTGCTCAGGTACAACTCAGACTTTTGATTGTATAGTTTTCAATCATGTTAGAGCCATTTCAGTCAGTACGATACATTACAGCTTGTTATTACAAACAATGAAACTTTGCTGCAATGTTAATGTGACTACAGAGATATCAAAGACACTACAGTGGGAACCCTGTCGCAACGGATCACAAATCAGGTTCATGGCTTGAAAGGACTGAACTCAAAGCTGTTGGACATCCGCTCTTACTTGGAGAGAGTGGCAGCAGGCAAACTTCCCATCAATCACCAGATCATCTACCAGCTGCAAGATGTTTTCAACCTGCTGCCAGATGTTAATCTGCTGGTAAGTTGTTTGTGGGATTCATCCTTAAAAAACTGAAACTGAAAATGCACAAGACTGTGAGCCAGATATGTTTTTACAGAATATCAGTTAAACACACACCTTATGCTTGGAAACAGTGATCATAAATGGGAACACTACTTAAAAATTGGCCAAACCTTTTATCTGTCCCTGATGGCTTTACATTTGAAATCTAGCTTATTTAGTGCTTTTTAGACTAGTATCTGATACACATTTTCTGAAGATTCTGGTGTCTTTTAAGAATGAGATCAACTTTGTGGTATTACATCACAGACATTGGTCTTCTTATTATCTTGTACATTGATTTATTATTTTACTCTGTGTTGTATATTTCAAACAAGTTTTTCTTTTTTCTTTTCAGGAATTCACAAAAGCCTTCTACCTTAAGACCAACGACCAGATGCTGGTGGTCTACCTGGCCTCGCTCATACGGTCTGTAGTGGCTCTTCACAACCTGATAAACAACAAGATTTCCAACAGGGATGCAGAGAAAAAGGAAGGACAGGAAAAGGAAGAGGGGAAGAAAGAGAAGAAGGATGAGAAGGAGAAAAAAGACGAGAAGGACAAAGACAAGGAGAAGGAGAAAGCGGATGGTGCAAAGAAAGACGAGAAGAAGAAAAAATGAGCGTTCCTCTTTCAAGGTTTTCTCTCAGATTCAAGTCTTCATCTGGATGGCGTTCTACTTTTCACCTGCAGACTCAGATCACTATGTGGGTCTCGGGCTAAAAGTAGGACTCTATATGGGGAAAGGTGTCATTTGAGATTTGGCCTCCCTGTCACAATTGGCACTCGTAAAGACTATTATTATTGTACAGAGATGAAGATGTTAGCGTCTTTGGCATTCTGAACTATGAGAACATTTTTATTCTGTTTTCATAGTTTCCATACTCCTTGTGTGGTACAAGCCCTGATATTGCTTTTTTTGTAATATGGAAAAAAATATGTTTTCGTTCTATGTCATTCATTAAACTGGGATCCTATTAAAACCTATTTGGTTTTTACAGTTTTTTAATTTCTAAACTTGAAAGCAGATGTTTGCAAATGATTTTTTTAAACAAATTTAAGGTGGAGTTGTGAAGGGTGAGGATACTAAACTAAATCAAAGTTATGAATATAACACAGTGCATGCTATCAGTGTTTTGTTTTTGTTTTATTTTGGATCCACTATTGGTTACAACAAAATATGCAGTAACTTCTCTTCCTGGGGTCTTCATCTTCTTTTCCATTTTCATTTTGAACTTAGACATGTACTTAAGGACATTACATTTACATAACACTCATTCTACTCTTCATTCATACAGTAGCTTTTGTTCTCTCTTGCTTGTTGAAAAATAAACCAATACATAAATAAGATGAAGAAAGACAAAAAAGAAAAACAGAACTTATTTTAGGGATAAGAAAACTTAATCCATCAGAGAGAAGAGCTGAACTCTAAAAAATACTTCCTGTAGGGCAGAACAAACACAGAAGAAAGCCAAAAGTAAAATTAAAGTTTAAGGAAATACAGTTATCTGAGGGGTCACGATTAAAAGCTCCTGGATCCATAACACTGACTGGAATGACAGTGTTCTGCCAACATCTTTAAGTAAATAAATTTACTCAGAAAGCAAAACAACTTATTCCTGAACGTTCATTATGAAAATGCACAAAATAAAGTTAAAAGAGCATAGAGATATCTAATTATATTTTTAATTTGAGTACAATTCAAAAACAGAAAACGTCCCTCCAGGGCAAATACAGTAAGAGTAAGCAAAGTGATGGTGTCAACGAGAAGAGGCGTTACTGTTATCGTTATTTCTTCTTTTTTACGGCTGCGTCATCTGCAGCTTCTTACAAAAAAAGCTCGCGCCACCACCACAACAGGAAGAAGAAGTAGTAGTAGTAACCAATATAGCGCATTTTAAGCTCAGGTTGTGTCGGTCAAATCAGATTATTGGGAAGGTAAACTGGATTCTGACGTAAACGGATTAAAAGCCCGTCAGAGGAGCATCGCATGTGCTGCTCTCGTTCGCTCGCGGTCAGCAGTTACTGTCGGTGATAGAGGAGCAGCACGAGCAGCAGCAGCAGCAGCAGCAGCAGCGCGTGCCGCCTCTAGTCAACAAACCCTCCTCTTCATCCCTCTCTCTCAGGACTGGAGCATGAACCCTCAGATATTTCTCTGCGACTAACCAGGACGGTAACATGGCTTCGTTTCTACAGGTGAGGCTGTGCCCGCTGTCGGCTTGTCCGCGCATTTCTTTTTGCATTTTGATAACTTGTGCACTTGTCAGGGTGTGGTTGTGCCCCCGTGCGATGCAGGCCTGTTTTGATGGGCACGAGCTCTCTCATCAGGATTGTTACTGTTGTTGTTTGCCGTATTTACCAACCAAACCTGAGTCACGTGTGCGCAGGGATAAACAGGTGGTTGAGAGCATCTAGATTGTTAATGGTTGAGAGGCTCAGTGTTGCCACCGGGGAGAGCAGGGAAAAGCTTTACTGTGATTAATAATGCGTCTTTGGCGCACGGTCTGTGTCAGTGCCAAACGTTTGCTTTTTCTTGAACCAGATTGCTGATGATGAGAAAGGCTACGACTTGGACCTTTTCTGTGTCCCCAGACATTATGAAAACGATTTGGACAAGGTGATCATCCCCCATGGACTCATCATGGACAGGTAAAACAATCAGCAGCTAAATGCTCACCTGGTACACTCCCTCTGTTTCACCTGGTACACAGCACCTAATGTGTGTGAGGACTATTGAGGCGCACTAGACTGTATTTGTTTGGCAAATCAGTATAGCCAACATCCTGAACTGTGCTTGAATATGTATGGGGGGATAGAGTATAGTAAGTGCAGAGGTCTTAGATGCATTTAAGCAAATGTGTTTAAGTGCACCATCATCCATCGTCACTGCTGTTTCTTACACAGTTGTGTGTTGCAGGACAGAGCGCCTTGCCCGGGACATAATCCAGGACATGGGGGGACACCATATTGTTGCTCTGTGTGTTCTTAAAGGAGGCTACAAGTTCTTCGCAGACCTCCTGGACTACATTAAAGCACTTAATCAGAACAGCGATAAATCAGTCCCCCTGACAGTGGATTTCATTAGAGTGAAGAGCTACTGTGTAAGCAGCCTTTTCTCATTTCATTTCCTGGAACCACTTGTGCTGATTCCAGAGATGGATGTGTGTGTATGTGTGTGTAGAACAACTAAGAATTATTTAAATCAATCAGTATTAAAGGGGTAGCCCACAAATTTCGGTGTGGGCATCTTCAAACTGAAGTGTGTCCAGGATAAGCATTTTTTTTTCCATCAAAAAGGATAGGATTACTTTGAGACTGTGACCACACAGGGATACATAATGTTGCCTCTCCTTTCTCTATGCTCTAGAATGACAAATCAACAAACTGCGTCAAAGTCATAGGAGGGGATGAGCTGTCCAATCTCTCAGGCAAGGTGAGTCTCTCTGTGTTAAGTCAGGCAGAAATACTTGCTACAGTCTTAAATCTGCGCACCTCATCAAATGTTCTGTCCCCTTTTTTTGCAGAATGTTCTGATTGTTGAGGTAAGACATGTCTTTTTTCTGACTATAGATGATTGATTATGGTTGTTATTGATGGTTCTCAAAGGAATAAAACCATAACAATAAAACAAAATGATCTGAAATGTTTTCTACTTGTATCATCTTGTGGTATACTGTATAATGTCATATTTACAGCCTTGTAATGGTTTACATTTTGGTGTTGCATTGATTTTGCTTAATCTTGCACAGTCAGTTTTAGCTTTGCGAATTTAGATTTAAAACATGTTTGTGAATATAAAAAAGCAAAGCCCATCTGTTTCACAGTTAGGACATTTTTTTTGTCTAGTTGTGCCCCCTTTCATTTTCATTTTGACCACTTTCTGTTTTTTTTTTAAGGATATTGTGGAAACAGGAAGGACGATGCAGACGCTACTTTCCCTGCTGAATGAATGTAACCCCAAAATGGTTAAAGTTGTGAGGTAGGCACCACCAAATACAGTCAAGGGAGCTGAGTTACAAGCTCCACCTTTAACTGGTTAGTATGTCAGCTGAGAGAGTGCTTGTGTAGCCGTGCTCTTAGCTAATGGACACTCTCCTTTAGGCCTGTATTAGAGATGTAGTGTGATGGAGCAAGAGAGCAGCTTAAGAGTTAATCTGCCACATTATTAACTCTACGGTGGATCTATTTGTTTGTAGCGTCCCTGAGTGCTGATGGAAACAGGAAATGTATTTTATCCAGCAGCGTTATGCAATTCTTCATCTAATGTTGTAAATCTAAAATTGTAATTTGTAAAAGTTCCACCTGAGCTGGCCTGTCGACACTTTCCACACAGTAAATGTGGTAATAAGCCTTATTAATCGTCTCTGCTCATGTCAAGGTTTATCAATATTGTCCATGTACTGTACATCACCCGTCTACAAGAGAGCTGAATTACACTTTAGATGTGAAGTTAAAAGTATTGGAAAAGTACCTTTTAGATATCTTAAAGTGATTATATGAGAATTTTTAACAAAATAGATTTTTTTGTCTTATTTTTTCATGCCTATTCTCTTTTCAGTTACATTTCTTGTCTGTTATTTCAGCCTTCTGGTGAAGAGGACACCAAGGAGTTCAGGCTACAGACCAGACTGTGAGCACCCTTATTCTCACTTTACTTAAAGCTCCTGTGAGGAACTTTTGGTCTGTGTCAAATTTTGGCACTCCCTGTGGATAACACAGTTTAAGACCATCTTGTCCTCTACATGCATAAATTGGGACTTTTGACTAAATGCTCACCCCTCTGACTTTTGACAGTCAAATGTGTTATTGAGAGTGAATATTTAATGTGGAAATAAAAAAGAAGGCTATTTCTTAGCTGACCGGTTGAAACTTAACCTCTTGTACCATTTTAAGGCATTAAAGAACATGGTAAAAAAAATCATTGGTCTTGCCACAATGATCTTTTTAGCTTGAGGACATTGTAAAAAGGCTTCAGTATGAATTTCAGTCTACACCATGAATGTGAAAAAATTCTTGATAGGGGCTTTAAACACTGGACAGTAGCATACTTTGTCCTCTAATGTATGGTAGTGTTCATTTCAAGGCAGTCTCTCACATACAGTATGTGTCTCATCCTTTAAAGGCTGGCAGAAAGCAGTGCTTTCCATGCAGGATTAAGATTAATTTCAGGAAAGACTACTCCTAATGTGGCTGAGCCCGGCCCTTTCAGGCCTGATAACCTCCTGCTCAACTGTCTCCAGTTATGTAATGCTTTTAGCGTTGAGTTGGATAATCTCTTTAAGACTGTCCCTCAAGGACAGCTGTTGTTGTCGACTTGCCTCTGTTTTACAGATTAAGTAGAACCTAACCCAGACAGTAAGAGAGCATTTCAGCCTGCACTGAACTGATAAAGACTGCTGGTTTTCTTTACATGACCGACATTTCTGGCATTTCTGTGTTGCAGATATTGGTTTCGAGGTGCCTGATGCCTTTCTGGTGGGTTATGCTTTGGACTACAATGAATACTTCAGAGATCTCAGTGTAAGTTTGCTGCAGTCTGTTAGTTCATCTAACATGCAGTACACCATTTGGTTTTTCAAAGAGCTAAATGTCTACTTAAAATGCATGTATTCAAAACAAGTTCTCAGTCTTTACTAAGTGGTTTGTTTTTAATTTCTTTCCCAGCACATCTGTATACTTAATGATCAAGCCAAGGAGAAGTACAAGGTGTGAGAAGATATTATGCTGCAAAGGCGAAGGCTCAATCAGAGTGTTTTGAATCTTATTTATTTTTCTACACATAGATCCACAAAGTGTGTGGGCTGTAAATACCAAAAACAAGGAATATTTAATTTCCCCTTAATGAATATGTGGGATCACTGATGTATGATAACATTTTAGTTGTTTAATATTAATTTGTGTATTCATTTCTGTTGATCCACTTTTATCTTGGAGATTAAAGAAAAGGATATGTAATAGATTTGTACTGGCTCAGACTAGCCTGCTGTCTGCTTTACGTCCAGTGAGCCGTCTGTTCAGCTAAAGAGGCCCTTGGTTTGAATATGATTTTTGTTGACTGAAAATGCTTCAGATATCTTCTCATTATGCCATACTATGAATGACTTGGAATGTACTGTAACTTTGTTTTATTTCATGTACAATGTTTTCACCTAGGACCTGTTTACAGCCAAGACTGTCTGGCTGCAGACCTCAACTGTGAGGCCAGGAAGTGCACTGAAATTACCAAATAAAATCGGGTAGACACTTCCTATTTAGCGTCTCTGTCATTCGTTTATATTAGACTGACTGCTCATCAAGTAGAACTCAAAATTAAATGTAGAGATTTTTCATATATAGATGTAGTTTTAAACTCTTTATATTGTTATACTGATTAGCAGTTATTTGTGTGCACTGGGTGTTGATTAATTTAGTGAAAAGGCTTGACTGGAAAAAACAATGCTTGGAAAATAAGAGTACGCCTGAATCACATATCCCAGATTTTGAAAGAAGAATATTGATTACATAGTGTGAACATGAGAATAATTAATGTAAACCAGAATTGTTAACCCTTTGAGGACTGGATTCAGAGTCATACTCAAAATCAAAGTGGAAAAATGAGATCACAGGCTGATCCACTTCTGTGAATTTCTTAAAGACGTTTCATGACTCAGCCGTGTGTATGGCCTCCTAATGCTTTCATGCACTCCTTACTTCGTCTAGGCATGCTCCTGATGAGAGGATGGATGGTCTCCTGGGGGACCTCCTCTCAGAGCTGAATCATGGCATCAGTCAGCTCTTGGTCAGTCTATGGTGCAGTGGCGTGGTGGTCACTGCAATGATACACAGTGTTCCAGAGGTATTTGATTGGATTTAAGTATAGATAGGGCCAGTCAATACTATCAACACTGTCATCATCCAGGAACTGCTGCTGACACACTCCAGCCACATGAGGCCAGACATTGTCATGCAGCAGTAGGAAAACCAGGCCCACTGCACCAGCATTTAGTCTGACAATGGGCTTGAGGATCCCATCCTGGTTCCTAACAGAAGTCAGGGTACCAAGCACTAGGAGGTCTGCGCGACTGGTCATGCCTGAGGATGTTATGGGCAGCAGTACGTCAGTCACATACACTGTCCGTGTCAACCTGCACTCATCTGTGAAGAAAACGGTGCGCCAATGCCAAATCTACCAATTCTGGTTGCACCATTAATTTTCTTTCTTTTCATTTGGTAACTTTTTGATCCAGTAAATCAAAACCTAATGAAAACAATAGATCAGTAGTCAAACTGCCCATTAGCACATCACCCATATTTGATGGTGAGAGGAACCCACCCCTGATGCCAAGGGGTGTCTGGTATCTCCCCATCTCTTCCTAGTAGTTGGCCACTTTCTCAATCTATAGATTTCCAAGCACCTCTTCGAAGGCATCAACTTCTAGTGAACAAAAATATTACACATTGAAAGTGGTACGACTTAATCTTAAAAACATCATCCAATCAAGTCTCCAATGAACATGCAACCAAACATATTTTATCAAAAAGAAACCATCCTGTACAATTCCATTTTATTTTACTTTTTTTGTGCAGACCTCTGTCTATAAACTGATCTGTAGGTTGTTTTGTCTGCTGTCAATATATGTTTAAAATCATATAAGCTGTTTTAACAATTTGAATGTGTAATTCGTTTGCACCAAAACTAAAGTCAATAAAGTTCTTTTAAAAAAAAAACTAGCTGTCAGACACAAGCTGTATGTTCTAGTTTTCCCATATTTTAAAACAATTTTGGACTAGAAATTGAAAAGCCTTAAATCAGAAAAATTGTCTTTACACCCCCCTCTCAGTTCAAGTGACGATTTTAAACGTGACAAACTCGGTCATATTTGAAAAGCGCATGCGTACGCTGTTGTCACCGCATGTATTGTCGTCACGTCCACGTCAGCCAGGCAAACGCGGAAGGACGTCCCGCAGGTTGTGCCGTCACGTGATCAGCTGTTTGGGACGAGTAGTTCCCCTTCAAAGTTAAGGAATGACGGAATGAAAACATGATGTTTCAGGCACAGATGTCAGTTTTGTTTGCTTTACTGTTTATTAAGTGTACGATATAAATTGATTGATTCCTGTTGGATTTAGGATTTTACTGCAGACCATGGACATTAAAGAGCAGGCAACAGCTAATTTGAAGCAGTACGACACTGGTGATAAGTTTTCCTACATTTCGGTGATTCCCAAAGCCTCAGTTCTGATCCCACTTTTTGTCAGAAATGGACAGCTGTACACCCTGATGACCCTGCGTTCAAAAGAGGTAATCCAAATGAATGCCAATTGAGGTAATCCGAATGAATGTTAACTGAGAGTAAGATAAATGTTGTCTGCAGTCTAAAGGTCTGACTCTGTGTTTGTAGCTGAAGAGAAATGCTGGCGAGGTGTGTTTTCCAGGTGGGAAGAGGGACCCCATGGACAAGGATGATGTTGACACAGCTCTGAGAGAGGCAGAGGAGGAGATAGGTTTACCCCCTGATGATGTTGAGGTGGTCTGTAGACTATTTCCTCTCGTCACTAAGGTAGGCATTACACAGTCATTAATTTGTGGTGGTTTAGGCTGCTTTAAGTCTACTCTAGTCTCAAGTTTCTCCTCTCATCCTTACCTCTTCTAACAGAGCGGTCTGTTGGTGACTCCAGTGGTCGGCTTTATTGAAGAAACCTTCCATCCAAGTCCAAACCCTGCTGAAGTTAGTGCTGTGTTTGCAGTTCCTCTGGACTTCTTCATGAGAGAGAAGGACCATGATGCTATTCACTTTGCAGCGATGCAGGGGCTAGTGCACTTTTTTCATTATGTGGACCCTGAATCAGGAAGCCAGTATGCCATATGGGGACTGACTGCCATGTTGGCTATAATGGTTGCTGCTTTTGCTCTGAGGACTAACCCTGAGTATGATGTTGGTTTCGACACAGAAGACCCCTTTTCTTTCTTCCAACAGACGCTAAACAGGAGACTTAGTAAACTATGAGTTGTTGAGTTCTTGGTACTTGAAGCCTTATTTACTATTTAATTGTTGAATATTAATTTATCACAGTAACCAAGGAGCAATGTGAAAATTAACTAACATTAAAATCCAAATTAAAAATGGAAACTTTTTTTTAAAACTCGTAAGAGTGTAGCTCAAACAATTTAGGTTTATAGAGGTACAGATTTCCTTTTTCAGCAGGACCAGGCCCCTGCTCACGGCGCCAAAACAACCAGAAACTGGTTTTCTTACGAGGGTATTACTGTGCTTGATTGGCTGGTTGACTTGACCTGAACCCCCATAGATGATCCCTGGGGTATCCTCAAGAGAAAGATGACACTGGAAAATCCAGACGAGCTGAAGGAGCTATCAAAGCAGCCTGTACTTCCATACTCCACTCCAGCAGAACTGTCCAGGCCTTGCATGTTGATGCAGTAACTTGTGCAAAGAGAGCCCCGAACAAGCACTGAGTGAATAAATGACCAGAACTTTCCAGAATGGCCGTATGTTTAAGAATACTTTCTTTTAGGTGTTTTACAATATTCTAATATTTTGAGATGGTTGATTTTTGTGAACTAATCATGAAAAGTAAAACAAAAAGTCTTGAAATGTTTCACTTTGTGTGTGATGAATCTAGAAGATATGTAAGTTTCTCTTTTTAAATCAAATGATGGTGAAGACATGAACTTTTCCTCCAGACATTCTGATTTCTTTTCCTGCACTTGAATGTAATGAAAAGTAGAAGACAAAAAAAGATAAGGGCACGTAGATTTTTTTTATTAATTCATTTAATGTAGCAGCAGGATTACAGATATAAACAAAAGAGTATACAAATGTCCAGACCAAGGCAAAGTACATGTTAATAATAATTCAGATGTATGATAACACACTGGGGTTGACCTTTTAGTCCGACTGCAGGGTCTTAAGGCTAGATATTTAAGCTCAAGCTACACAGAACGGACACAACAGAACTGTAGGAAGATGTGAAATAGAAAGCGAACTAGGAAAAGTGAGCAAACTGATTACACACAAGATAAAGCTCACACTATTGGCAATTAACAGTTAATTCATTATGGTTGCTCCTTTTGATCAAGCATTTCACAGCAACAATAGTAATGTTGACAAGCACATCAACACAAGAAAGCTCTCCATTTAAACAATCTCCTCTGTCTCGTCCCTTTTACCTCACGTACAATCTCATGAGGCATGAAAAAGTTTTTCAACAGAAAATAAACAAGTTGACATTTTGTTGGTGAAGCTGCATAATATAATGTCGACTGAACCCATTCTGATATCTTGCAATGGATTTATAAATACAAAGTGTGAAAACTGAAATGTGTTGGAATGGGTTATGATAGCCATGTGTTGAGAAATTATTTTATATCAGAATCACTGAAAGGTATCTGGATCTTAAAAAGTCCAAAAGAAGAAGAAGGACAAGGAGCCAAATAGCAATGACAAAAGGGACACCGGTAAACACAGCAGAGTAACAGTAAAGTTATCAAGGCACACAGAGTTCTGTTTTAAGCATCACAATTGAAATTCAAGATACCCCTGCAGTATACTTCACATTTAAATATACATGGATATTCATTTACATGACTGAAGGACAAAACTGATATTGTGTAAAGGTTTCTGTGCTATCTTCACCGTTGAATTCATGTTCCACATATTTTTGTTTCTGAGTGCAAGTGGCTATTTGGAGAGTCAGACTGAGCATCCTGGATTGCTCAAAATGAAACGTCTTGAACACAAAATGACACCACAATCCACCACAGACAATCTGACAAATGTAGTGATACAAATGACAGTTGGTGCCACAACACAATCCCTCCTCTGCCTTGAAACATGTTCTCGAAAACTGTAATTGGTCCGATGTTAGATGTAGAGCAAGCTCTATGTCCACACCATGAGGTAAAATTTACATTCATGAAACTGAAGTCACAGGTTGGCTTTCTGTGTTGGTATGGCTTTGAGAGGCATTGCTGTTCCGCACTGTATCTACAACATCATGTGCTCTTAAACTCCCCTAACCGAGAGGGATGGAATGCTTGGAAACATCACTACTGCGCTCTAACCTGACCTACAGTTAATGGATAAGTCAAAGTGCCATTTGAGATGCATGACAATAAAAATAAAGAAGTAAAATCAAAACTCACACACATTACACACGCACGCACACACACACACACACACACACACACACAAGAAACCTAGCCCATGTATTATGTTATACAGGTTGGGTAAAAGTAACGTTAATACAGTTAAACTAATGTTCCAACATTTTTGCACAATGTTCACTTGCGGAAATTTCTAGTTTCAGTCATACACTTGACAATACAACCTGCGCTTTATTTCATGAAAACATACCAGCAATGATATTGTGTGCTATGAGCATAAACCAAAAGTTAAGTTTTACAAAAATACTCTACATTTTGATACATGGATACAAAATTCTAAAAAAGATAAGTTACTTTAAAATGGATCGCTAAGAGCTGCAAGGACAAAACAGCATGACTATGAAAATGTAAACAAATGTGTATGAGCGAGCTACGCTAACATTTGAATTATCCTCAAAATTGGCTTCTTGATAGTGCCAAATTGGCTACTGTTATTGATATGGAAAGTACATCAGTGTTTATTTTTTTGCATCAAAAATAGAGTAATGTAATGAGAAAATATCAGATTGGTGGAAATGTTAGAGAATAACTGATCCATGAAACAAAGTACCGTACATATCTTTTATAAATCTTGTACTTCAAACGACATGCTGAAATGCTATTCATATAAGAGCTGCATAATTTAAACAAGTAAGTACAAATGAGTAAACATTATGAGGGCGTTGGATAGGGCAAGTATGAGACAAAATGAGGGCGGTTCACAACAGGAGCTTTGGTATGCCTGGGTGCTCTCCAGTCTGACCCCACAACGACAGCCAACTCTCTCGACTCAACTCTGTCTCCAAACTAGCAAATAATGTCAGTGCTATTGATACAGAAGTAGAAACTGTTATGTACTAACATCACGTCAGAAGTGCCCATCACTCCTGTACATAGCACCATAGATAGATCACGATGGCAGCCTCTATGTAACAGAGATTTCATAAACCAGCGAGCCCCCTGTTCACAACACAAGGGACGGTTACTGGATGCCAACTTCATATGGTGCCAGCCTGCACACGGTACCAACACTGAGACAAAAACTTAAATATTTAACACAACACAAGGTAAAACAGTCTCAAGTGACAGATTGACAGTAAATAGTACAAATAGCATTACAATGAATATCCTTCATTTCAATTCACAAACTAAATGGATCAATATTTTGTCAGTGTGTAACACACAGAGGCCTACTGACCACTCCAACACTGAAAAATGACAACATTTGAGTGGGAGTGGCTGTTTTTTTTCTTCTTTTTTTTTTTTTGACAGACTTGACTGGACCACTGAGACTGAATACAAAGAGGAATTTGACAGTGAGCTGACATTTTATACAAAGTTGTCTTAAACCTCAAAAGTATTTAGACATGACAAAATGTAAAAATGTTTTGTTAGGATGTATTAACCTTTACAAAGACAACTGTTTTATGTTGTTTTCTTTTTTTTTTTTTCTTCTTTTTTTTTTAACTGGACGTTTCCAAGTACAAATCAGCTGGGTCAGTAGAGAGCTGTGGACAGATATAAGGGTTAGCTAGAGGTTATAAAGTGCTTGAGATAAAATGTTTATAAAACCACACAACACTCCTTTTTCACTAGTGGAAAGTTAATTCCTAACCACATTAATTTGGTAAAAGTTACCAACTTCTTTAGAACAAAAAGATACACACTACATACAGTTGAAAGTTACTTACAAAGAAAGCTCCTGAACCCCTGAAGATGAGGCCTGAATGTATGGAAACACCAGGAGGTGCCAACAAAAGGCAAGGTCACATAATTCACCAGGTTGAATCTCATTTGTGTGTATAATAGTTCCTACTCTTTTTGCACATAAGGGGGACCTACATTACATGAACCTATTCACACCTACGTAGCAAGCGCCTATTTGTCATTTCTTGATTGTATCAACATTTAGTTTCCCCTGTTCTTACAGAGTCAGCTCAGGTGTTTCTCCCAGTCATGCCTGCAAATATAAGGGCCTCCACACATTCTAAAGGTGTGCCTCATTTAATAAGTACATTTCTAATAAGTATTTACTCTTAGAGTATATTTAGGAGGATTTTTCACATACCAACAATATGTTTAAGAATATTTCACATTATGGATGGCCTAATGATTTTAAATTGAGTTGTTGAGACATTATTTCATCCCTGCTTTCAATCCAGGTAATCGCTCCTTATTTCAACCGTTTCCTTTAACAGGCCAAAACCTCCTCACAGACTCTGCCTCTTAGAAACAAAGTAAAGGCTTAGCGTTTGCACATCCGACAAATGAGATTCAGCCAATATCGGACACTCCTGCGCTCTCTGTTAATCACTCTATGGCTATATGTTTCATCAACTCCGCCCATTCTTACAGACTCAGACTCATCCCCATCACATTACTTTTCTCCTTATATCCCATTGCTTACATTCTTTATCCCTTTCCAGTTCATTCACCAAACCTGGAGGATATTTCTTCATCATATTCGTCGTCATCTCTTAGGCTCACATTATTAAAATACAAAACAAACACTGCATTTCTCAGACTGATGGATAAAACAGTTATTACAGGCCTCTCTAATCCTGCAAGAGGGCTGGAAACATAGATGGAGTCATAGAGGACAAAGGTGTATGATTTTTACGGATCCATAAAAACAAGCACTCAAAATTTGGGTTTATATGTAAAAGGGGTTTTGAATTCTTTAGTATTAAAATCTCTAAGTTTTGTGTAATTGGCACAAAACGCCACACGCCACCATCTGTCAATGTAAGGATGTATAACTTTCAGCTACATATCACTCATTCTTTATAGTGCCCACAAGGTTCAAACAGTTACAACTGCCTCTGCAGGCTCTTCAGCAAGTCCTTAGTTTTATCCACGTTGGATGATGCAGATATTGATGCCTGCGGCTGACTCTGTGACCTGCTCTGTAGGTTTCTCTGCGTTGGAGTCAGCAGACTTGTTTCTAAGGTTGCTGCAGAGCCTGGTGTTTGTCTACTTTGTATTTTGTAGGCTAGTCTGCATGGCGTTCTCCAAGCTGGACTGCATTTGTGCCTGGAGGGTGTTCTGTAAGCTCCCATGCATGGTGACAGGCAACGAGGGGGCAGTTTGAGCCATGGGCTGCTCCAGGAGCGGCTGCATGTGAGTGGAGTTCTGGGGCTGACCCTGAGCTGGCAGGGTGGGTCCAGAGGAGTTAAGCAGCTGGGGCGTGTCTGGGGGGAAGAGAAAATGAACATAATTTAGCAGAAGTATTTCAGTCAGTGAAACCAAGAGAGTTTTTTGACCAACTCAAAGAAAAAAGTGTAGTTGAAATGTGCTACAAGGACAAAAAAAAAAAGGGTTCAGGCAGGCGTCTTAACTCAATAACACAACACCGCAGAGGTGAAGACAAAATTCTCTTACCGTTCTGGATGCCAAACACAAACAGATTGGTCTGTCCTTGTGGAGCCACATTCCCACCCACAGTTGTCTGGAAAAGCTGCTCTGGCGGCTGCTGGCCGGGGTTGGCTACTACACCCACACCACCCTGCACCACAAAGATGGTCGTGCCAGGGGCTGGAGCCGGATTGTTTAGCTCCTGTGCGCCAATCGTGCTCTGCAGGCTGGCCAGAGATGTCTGTGGCAGGAACAGGTCCACGGGTTGACTGCTTGGGATGCTGCTAGAACTCTGACCTACTTGCATTGGCTGCTGCTCCTGGAACAGACTCTGCTGCTGGTTCTCAGTAGACGTTGAGTTACTGTTTGAAGACTGGTCTTGGAAAGACATGGGCTCTGCTGGCTCAGGCTGTGGGATTCCAACGCTTATGCTGCCAATAGGAGGAGGGCCTCCGGTCTGGGTGCTGAAAAGGATAGTAGGGGGGATGGCCTGGGGATTCAGATCCGTGGTGCAGAGGAGCAGACCGGTCTGCTGGGGTTGTGAGAGCTGGTTCTGGGGGACAGGGTTGGTCTGTGAGTGGTTTGGTATACTTTGGAATAAGGAGCCCTGCTGGCCCATGGAAAGCTGTGGCGGCTGCTGTTGGCTCTGCTGAGAAGACTGCTGCTGCTCCATGGGGGTGCTCTGTTGCTGCAATTGGGAAAGTTGGGCTTGTGGTTGGTTCTGAAACATTGTGATGGACTGGGACTGGCTGGACGTCTCCATTGAGGAGATAAATGCCAGCTGCTGCTGCTGCTGCTGCTGTTGTTGTTGCTGTTGGGGCTGAGGGTTTGGGGACAGGAACAGAGCTGAGCCTGTAGACTGCTGCTCTGGATTCAGATTGCCACCAGTCAGGACGGTCAAAGTGTTCTGAAGCAACGCTGCCTGGACCTGCTGTTGAGAGGCCTGAGTCTCAGCCAGGGGCCTGGGGGATTGGAAGAGCTGCTGTGGAGGGGAAGTGTGGGATGGAGGCTGTGTTGGAAAGCTGGTCTGGATGGTGAGCAGATCACTGGCCTGCTGAAGGAGAGACACCGGCTGCTGGACTTGAGGGGAGGAGTGGATCTGAGGCTGGAGTAACTCTGCTTGAAGTTGTTGCTGTAAATTCTCTAAGACCTGCTGTTCTTGCAGTTGTTGTTGTTGCTGTTGTAAATTGCTCAAAGCTTGATTTTGCTGCTGCTGCTGCTGTTGTTGCTGCTGTTGCAGCTGATGCTGTTGTAAATTGCTAAGAATTTGATTTTGTTGTTGCTGGTCCTGGAGCTGGATGTTGTTAAGGACTTGCTGTTGCTGATTTTGTTGCAACTGTTGTTGTTGCTGTTGAATATTCTCGATGATCTGCTGCTGCTGCTGGAGTTGCTGTTGGTCTTGTGGTTGTAGTATTATTTGTTGTTGGAGCTGCATGTTGCCGAGAACTTGCTGCTGCTGTTGCTGTAATTGTTGCTGCTGCTGTTGGTGTTGAAGGTTGCCGAGAATTTGCTGTTGTTGCTGCAGTTGTTGGTGCTGCTGAAACTGTTGTTGAATTTGAATTTGCTGTTGCTGCTGCTGCTGTTGTTGTTGTAACTGCTGCTGCTGTTGTTGTTGTAACTGCTGCTGCTGCTGTTGTTGTAACTGCTGCTGCTGCTGTTGCATCTGTAGTTGTTGCTGATTGGACAGTGGATTATCTGTGGTTCCCAGTCTAAGGCTGTTCATGTTCTCTTGAACGTGCTGTTGAAGAGAGTCGGCAGAGAGTGTGGGGCTGTACAGCACAGAGTTCAGCTGCTGCTGGGCAACAGCGGCCTCCAACACCTGCTGGAGTGTGGTGTTCCCTCCAGCCTGCAGCTCCCTCACTGCCCTCTCCAGCTCGGCCACCCCTTCCTGGGGGAACAGCGGAACCTGTGCCTGCTGTGGTTGTGGTTGAGAGGAAGTTGTGATCTGGGGCATGGCCATTACTACAACCCCTCCACTATTATTGGAACCCTCAGGAGCCAGGCTGTCCTGGGGGTCTCTGAGGAATTGCTGGGGGACTTCTGGGGTCACCGGGGGGATTGTGGTGTCACCTGCCACTGGGAAGGAGGTGGTGGGGGCAATTTCTTGCTTTTGTATAGTGCTGAGAGACTCCAGGCTTGGAAAGACAGGGGGCGCATGTGGAAGCTCTACATCCTCTGGTTGCAGGGGCATTGGACTCTGAAAGGAATCTCCACTTGGATGAGGACTAGGGCTGAGCTCCAGGGTCTGCTGCACCGAAACAAGAGGGTCAGAGGATGGCTGAGAAAAGAGAGAGTGCAGAAATTTTACTTGCAGCACATCAGACTTATTTTGATTCCTCTTTCTGGTTAATGTAAATCTTACCTTGAAGACAGCTGTTGATGGTGAATTGCTTGACACTTCCATTGGTGTGTCTTCCTGCCGTTTGCAGGGCTGACTAGAGCAGTCAGCTCGCTCAGAAGATTTGATCTGGCCATCAAATACACACGTCTCCACCAGGGAGGGCTGCTCTGTTTTTACTGTTCGGACATTTAAGTTGTCGGCTGTGGATGAGATAGAAAACACAGATATGTATTTTAAACTAAGTTACTCTTTGAGTGTTGAATTCTTGATGACTATTTGATTTGTACACAGGGCTCGACAGTGCTCCTTGTGAACAAAAGTTAGTGTCAAGCTAATGAGGAGATTTTACAATACATATTTAAGGTTGGGTTGCAGTGAAGTGTGCAAAACTCAGCGATGAACCCGACATGGGAGTCAATAGACCCAAAAACTTCTGGTGGCTGTACCTGTGTCTGGAGTGTAAGTGAAGGGCTGGGCATCATGTGATCTACCAGCATTGGTCATCACAAAGATTCCCACAGAAACTGGAGAGGTGATTGACTGGTTGTGGAACGGTGGAACTGTCACGATTAAATGGTTCTGTAAAAGATAAGCAGCAAAACCTCATTTAAGATTCACTCAATCAAATCTTGCTGGTTTGATGCAGCAGGAGAAATAGACCACACACAACTCTGTCCTTGCATTTACCTGATGGAAGAGGTCCATGTCGATGTTTGCCTCAGCTTGCCAGGAATTATCATCTGCAATAAAAAAACACAACATCCTTCTAAAATGTATTTTTCACCCTTTAGGTTTCCATGCAAATAACAGTACTGAAATGTAACCAACTCAGACAACAACGTGGTGGTATCGCACCTGAAATGTTCTCCTGAAAAATGACTTTGGTTCCTTTGAGGAAGTTCTTTCCAATAATGAAAACTTCCTCTCCTCCTTTCACTGTGCAGCTGTGGAGACTCTTCTTCAGGATCTCTGGCACTCCTGCTGGCTGAGCTAAAAAGTGACACAAGAGTCAAAACTCACATACATCTGGAGTAATGTTTGCAGGTGAGCAAGCGAAACAAATTTTGTGGTCTAACAGATTTGTTTTGGGAAAGTGAATCGACACATCGTTCCCCAGCCTCACAAAGCCGATAGAAGCTCTAGACTGATGGCGGCTGATGCTGTGTCTGAACTACTCACTGCAGAGGATGGGTGATGATGGAACTTGTAGAGTAAGAGCTGATCCATCAGGTTGGGGGATACTGACTCTGAAGGCCAGTCTGGCACGTGTGCTCTTCTTCTTGGACCCTGCCACACCAATACGAGCCTCCACATCTGCATTACGCAGCTTCAAGATTCCAACACAGTCCACTCTGTAAAAACAACACAGAATGGAGTGAATGACAACCACCGTAAGTACTTCTTATGCAGCAGCATGAGTGTTAACTGTTACATTAACTGGATCACAGCATGTTTGCTCTTACGCGAGTGTCATGTCATTGCCCGGCTCCAGAGGGATCTCGATCACAGTGGTGCCCTCTATATCCACCTCTTTGCATGCTGTAGTGTTGCGCCCTGTCACCCTGCACGCCTGGTAAAAACCATGAGGCTTCACTCTGCCTGCATCATTTGCCACAAACACCTGCAGCACAACCGGTTCATTTACGCCCTCCAACTAGGGACACACACACAAATAAGAAATCCCGTTAACAAAGTGCGACTCATATTTCAATAACAACACATAATATGTTGGATATCCATGCTGCAGCTCTGCAAAATTTCAGATACACACAAAGATGTTGGCATAATCCTCATACACGTTCTCTGGCTTCTCTGAAATGCCCTTTTTTAATTAACTTTGCGATTCTTGGCCTGAACCTAATGTCAGGCTCTGCCATCCTATCAAGACGATGTTAAGCTTTAGAGTCCATTTTACCACTCAGCTTTTCTGAAGTTTGTTAATTCAGTATGCTTGTCAATGTTCCTGGAGTTTTCATAGACAGTTCCAGCTATTTTCTCCTCCCAAAGGTTTTATGTTTTTGGGACTACAACACAACTGTTGTATAAGCTGTATAAGAAGTAACGCCTTCAAGCCGTGTCTAACTCTATGTCTTGGAAAAAGCAGCCAAGATGAAGCAGTTCAGGCTGAGGCTGAGGAGTGCAGAAATTAGAGTTTCCACAGCACAAATTCAAATTTCTTTTGTATGGTAAATCATTCAAGGCTACTCTATGGATGGCCTAGAATGGCATGACAAAAGGTGAAATTGAGTTCAATAGGTCTCCCTTTAATTTTGTTTAAAATATAATTATAATTTTTACTTTCCACAGAACAACAGTCACAGCTTGATTTCATATGTCAAAATAACTGCTTTTATTTGTGGAAACTTTTCAAAACGTATGATTTTACATGTGAAAATTAAAAATAAAAGCTATCAGATGTACTTTCCGGACTTCAGACAGGAAAGAAATATAAGTCTTCATTTAAACATTGACTAACTTTTTTAGGTAGGGGTATATTATTATATATTTATGTAAGTTTACCTTTGTAAATAAGTTAAAAAATGTTCCCATAATATTCTACTTTCTTAATTGTGCCTTTATGTAAAAATGGGACTAGAATAATGTGGTTTTCACATCATATGGAGCCTTTAATATGACGTTAATATGTTATCATGTCCTAACAGGCAGGTGGCGTTATTTGTCAAACCTTGACTGTGGGGAATCCCTGTTGGGTGCGGTCTTTGACAGACCCTCTGCTGCCCTCGGTCAGATAACGTGCTCTGTGCTGGGTCTCTGGCTGCACCAGGATTTTTAGCTCCTTTCCATCACTCCTTTGGGGAAAGTGAGTCGACAGTGATCCACTCTTCACTGCAGTTCCTGACTCCAGAGAGCTACAAAGCAACAAAAATCACATGAGGACATTAATAACTTCCAGGAATTGAGTCACTGCAGGCAAAACTCAATTTTATGACCTTACCTGTATTGTCTTAAAGAAAACAAATGGACAGGAATGCTTGACTTTTAAGTCTGACAGAATCTGCATCATATGACAGAAACCTTACCTGGGACCGGACTTGTCTGTGCTCAGCTGGGACAGGACAAAATGAGGGCCCTTGGCACTGTCAGCATCAAACACATCCATGCTGTTCTCTGGATTAGAGGGTTTAGGGCCAGGACGCTGGCGAGGGGTGCGCTTTCTAGACTTGCGTGGCACCTCAGTGTTGTCATTGTAGGAGATGGAGCTGATCAAGCTGAAGTTTGAGAGGGAATCGTCAGCCCATATACTGCTGCTGTGCTCGGAGTCTGGACCTGTTGGAGCAGATACTGTCGGCTCCTCTTGGCAAGACATCTGGCTGTCATCGAAAAGGTCTTCAGGTGGCGGGGATATGCTCAACACAGGCCTCCGTTTTGATGGGGTATTCTGAGGCTGCTGGACTCCAAGCCCTGACAACACTCCTGACCCCAGGTCTCCTGCTGCAGTGTTTGCTCCAGTGTTACCTCTGCTGGAGGCAGATGCAGCACCCTCCATACCTTGCATCTCTGAAGCTCCAGCTCCATCCACCCCGGAGGAGTGGAGATGCTGGGAAACCTTGAGATGGTCTGAGGATGAGGTAGAGGAGCCAGTGGCTGGGGCTCCCATGGCCAGGGAGGAGGCAGAGGGACTGGAGGTGGCATCTGTAGTATTATATACAGATAAAGAAGTTAGCACAGATGTTCAGCACAATGCAGGCTAGCAGTCCCATTCAAGCAGCTGAATTTGTGCATGATTTGTATTGATTTCCCCTCTTCCCAACTCTAATTTCAACATACTGTTTGTGGGTTATATGCTCTCACTGTGCATGCGAGAGCTGTCAAGCATTGATTAAATAATCTGAAGTTAAAGTTGAGAAGGGTACTTCAGGTCCCACAATGTTTTGATTCCTACATAATCCTTTCTCAATTAAAATCAATGTGACAAAACTGACATGCTTTGTTTACAAAAACAAAAGCAAGCTACAAATTGTAACATACACATTGCCAGAAAGAAACAGAACAAAATCTGGTCAAACTTCTTTGTACAGCCAAATTTTGCAAGCTGGTAATGTGGCGCCAAATTAAATTTGCCAGGGTTACAGTACAGTTTGTGCAATGTGCATTCAGTAGTAAAACAGTAGTTTGCGCATGCCAATTGGAAGATTTGGTTGGGACTGAGCGTAGCCATGGAGACAGAATAAACAAGCCTCTGACCTATGGAGCAGTGAACTGCAGACCATTTTATATGCAGACACTCCCTGCCTCAGAGGGAACTTCCTGCAATAAAAACGAGACAGCCAATGAGCAACAAGAGAGCTGATCATTCAAGATGCTACTTCTGTCAATCAGTAAATTGGATATACTCAAACACTGAAGGAAGGGGTCACTTTTGAAGTTGATCATTTATAGACATTTTGAAGCAGGGTACTTAGTTAATGATGATCTGAAGGACATTACAGTCGTCATGCTTTTGATCTGCACTGCTTGGGGTCAGCTGGGTCACACAGGATACTTAAAAACTAACATTGGCGCTCTCCAACATAAACGTCAACCAGTTAGGTTGCTCACTAGACAACATTCAGGACTAGAATTCTTCTCAGTTAAAGCTGATGTTGGCTTCCCTGAACCATGATCCAAGATCAGACCATGTCCCTTATTGATATCAAGAATTTGTTCAGGGCAACTTCACTGTTTCATGAAGACAGACCCTTTTCAGTACGTGAAGGTTTGTAAATTTATATTGGATGTTTAAGCGGCATGTGTGCATAGACAGTTTCTGCTGTAGGCACTTGTGAAGGCATTTTAAACAAAGTTTGTATTTAATGATTAACCCCAATTAATTTGACTGATATCAGCCAAAACGGCCAGCAGCAGAGGACTGTGTATGTCTGTGCGGTAATTTTTGATCCTATCCCCAGGCCAGGTCCCCAGTGAGAGTTAGATAAATCTAAATACGACATGCCGGCGAGAGAATTATGTTTTATTTTTGACCTTATGTTTGGAAGGAAGCAGTACATCAAGAGAAATATCAATGATGCAGCTAAAACTGGGGCAGACAAGCAAAAATGGACACAAAGACCCTAAAACAAAAAAAGTTGAGAGACAGCAACAGAGCATGATCATGAACACCAGTCAACCTTTGTCAGTTCAACAATTTAAGAGATCTGCTGAGTTTAAAGAAGTTTTTGACAGGACTCAAATCAGATCCTGAATTTGCTGTCTTCCTCTTGGCCAGATATGAACATGTCTTAGGTCTTTAAGTTTAAAAGATGATAAAATCAAAATCACCTGCGTCTTTCTGTCACTACTAGATAAAGATTTTATGACTCATCACAGAGGTGTTAATGGAAATTAACATGCTAAAAAGGGGAGGTGCTATTATTTTTGTTGGAAGGGGCACAGTTTTTAAGATGTTCTAATGCTCTAACAATTCGGAAGCTGGATCACAACACTTCCAACATGAGAGATGTCTGAGATGACGACTTGGAAATCAAGGGACTGTATAAAGTTAATCTCCAAAACTGGACTACCTAGACATAGTTTTACTGTCTTGAAAGCCAAGTGAGATAAAGCATTAAGCAAAAGCATCACGGTGTGAAGTGCTGCAGAAAAGATGAGTGAAGTGAGAAGGAACAGGCTATGTCAGCATGCTGTTAAAGCAGATTCAACTTAACTCAGAGCTGCTAATCAAAGTTCAGCCTTCCAGCAAAAGAAAACCAAAATGACTTTTAGAAAAACAAAGCCGTTAACGACTCTTAGTGGTGTCACTACCATTAGCATAGTATAGATCAGTGGTTCTCAAATCCAGTCCTCGAGCCCCCCCCGTCCTGCATGTTTTGGATGTCTCCCTGCTCCAACACACCTGATTCAAATGATCAGCTCGTTATCAAGCTCTGTAATGGCTTAATAACGAGCTAATCATTTGAATCAGGTGTGTTGGAGCAGGGAAACATCGAGGACTGGATTTGAGAACCACTGGTATAGATGAACAGCATATTAACTTAGCTTGGGAGTGCCTCGGTAGCTATAGTAACGCAGTCATTGAAAAATTTGTCTCTCTAAGGTTGGCTAGCTTTATGAAGTCAATGCCAAGGATTAAGGATCGACCAATAATCATCACAGACGATACTATTGGCCGATATTCATCATTTTGACAATAATCAGCACCAGGCGGTTTATCCATCGAAAGCCAATAAAAAAGGTTTATTTTAAAATGCCCTCATTCGGCTCTTACACAGCCGACTCTGTCTGCCTAAAGTCACCATTCTTGGCTATGTAACTATGTCCCGCCTACAGTCCCCACTGATTGGCTACACAGGCAGCCAGTATTTAGTTTTTCCTTCTGTTATTTATTAAAATTCAGGGAACTGTTTTATTTTATTTTTTTATTGTAGCTACAGTTAGAGTTCATCATAACTGCTGCTATAAGGTCCCTGCACTTTTTGTTGCTTTTGTTGTCAAGACAATAAAACAATTGTTTGAACCTTTTCAACAAAGATTTTCACAGTGTACAAAACAAACAGTGTACTGTGTTCACTCTAATCCCAAGTGTGTTATCTAAACTTTGACACCAAAATATACATTTTAGAGCAAATGAATATCGGCTCTAAATATTGGTTATCGGTTACTTTGATTACATATAACTAGTATCGGTATTGGTCCTAAAAAAACATATCGGTTGATCCTTACTTAAGATATCCAGGATCTGAGTGAAGTTGCTGTTTGTGTTGGTATCAAACTACTAATACACACAAGTAAGCAAAGCCCCTCTCTTATGTGCTGTGTGGGTTATGGAAAGATGTAAGACACAACCATCTCAAAGGTGGCTAACATGGTCACCAAACACAGACACAGTCAAATGAGCCGGGAGAAAGGGAAAACTGAAAAGATGAGACAGCAAATATTCAATAACTGGCACATCAGTGGAAGAACTGGCAACCTGTCAGTGTTAAACACAGCTAGAGTTCAACTGCACAAGTCATCACACCCCCCAATCCAAAGTAGGACCCATCATAGTCTTCTGGTCCCACTGAAACCCTGATAAACCTAAAGATTTGTATAACAGTGCCATTAGCAGAAGTAACACAAAGTTTGGCTTAAGCGCTAATGATGCTTGAAACATTCACAAACACTCATTATCTCTAAGTCTAGTGAAAGGGTGAAGTTGCCCATAGACTCTGATAAAAGGCCATATTGGTTTCTTCACCCCTACTGTCTTGGGGAATAGTGAAACTGATCCCAGATCATGGTTTTCATAACTGCGCAGGTAGCTCACCTGAGGCCAGGGCCGCAGAGGGGGGAGGTCCGGCCTCTCCCCCACTTGTCTGGCTCATGGTGGGCGGGTCTGTCTGGGTGGACGGCGGCTGGAGCTGGAGCTCTTTAGGGAGGAGGTCATATACCGACTCTGTCGTGAAGATAAACAGGAGACATAAATAGGATGATTGTTCATGATGTCATCAAGTCAACAGAAAATATTTTCAACATCACTCCAGTATAAATCCCTTAATAAATGGAGCTCAATCACAACAGCATATTTATGGAAAATGACTTTGTGTACCACAGAAGAGGAGCTGGGTTATCTTGTCATTATCACTTCAAGTCCAAGCCTAACTTTATCTATTTCTCTCCTGATTAGAAACGCCCTGATCAGCTTTTCTGGCACCCAATCCTGATCTGATTTTTAACGCAGAGTATTTGCAGAGACCCAGTCCCCATCAGATACTTGTTTTGGCTAGATAATAGAGCTACGCAACAGTTTTTGTTTGCAGAATAAGTAAACAATTTAGCAAGTGAATCAATGAACTCTCCAGATTATTTATGGGGGGAGATTTGTCTCAAAATTATGCACAAATATGTATCCACCATTTTCACATGTGTATTTCAGGTCAATTACAAATCCAAAGTATTACAGAAAATGAAATATACTTGAATAGAAATCTTAGATCCACTCCAGGTAGACCCCAAACAGCAAAAACCTTCACTGGAGATGGGCTGGTCGTCCAAAGCGATGAACTGAACCCCCTTCTCTGTAGGTTTGTTGCTGCAGAACAGAACAGCAGCCTGTTTTCTCTGTATCTGTGCTGAGTGAACACACTGTCTTCCTTTGCATTTTTAAATTGGTAATAATGAATGCAGTTCGACTGCGCCTGCCTTGCAACACTATCATTAAGCATTTATTCCAAGTGGCTATTGGGCTGTTTCTGATTACAAATATCTCCACCTCGCTGACTTTAAGGCAGAGGGGACATCCCTGATTTTAACTGACACAAATGTTGATGCCATCTTTCAGCAAGACAGTTTTTCCCCCAGCCTTGTATTGAATAAAATTTTTAAAGAATTTATGCATCTCTAACCTCATTTGTGTAATCTGGTGAAATTAAATTCATCCTGATGTTGTCTTTGTTTTTGTAAAAGAAAAACTGTGGTTTCAATAATCAAGGTCTGGTACTGTCTGGACCTGCATGCACATGAAATTTCACACTTGCCAGATTTGGAGTGTCATGTTTTCTATTGGTCTAATGATGCCTTAAAATAAATAAACAATTTAAAAAAAACAGAAAAGTAAACTTTCTCATTCCCCTTACAAAGTTATGCATGATTCAGATTTATGCATATTAAGATAACTCACTTCCATATTGTAACTGTTCCTGGAAAAAAATGCCTAAACCTGTAACATCTGTTTTTTTCATCCACCTCCTGTCTTAACTCGACTCCTGGTGTCTTATGATAGAATAAATTAGCCTCAGAGGGGTTGAGTTTAATAGGACCCACTGAGACATTCCTTGATATCTGATGATAGGATGATTCCTAGAAACCATCACCAAGCTCTGCAGCTTCACCCAAGTAAACCACGTTTGATGGCAGATAAACACTTGATTAGGTGGACTGGTTGCTTAGAAACAGGCAATCATCAACACCCCGGCATGGATATTTCAGCTGTGCATTGGCAGCACCCAGCATGTGTAGCTGTCATCGGATACTGGGCTATGACTTAGCACCGGGAGAACAGTGAAACCGACAAGACACATGATCTCGCACTTCTGTGACGCCAACAACGCCATTGACCGAGTGACAACAACTCAAAGTCACCACAGTTCATCGGAAGAACTACACAGTAGAGAAGGCATCAAAACAGAAGCAGGTATCATTTTCTAACAAGAGCAGAGAAAAACCCTCATTCATCGATCCTGAGGGCTTTGAGATACAGCCTGCAGTGTCTGCTATGTTTTAATTAAATATACAGAGGATAGTTGTAGGAGATCCTATCCTGAGAGAAGCTCTGAAAATGTTCTCTAAATATTGATATTGTGGGGTGAACAGTCCCTTTAAACCAGATGAGCTACAACAGTGTATTTACACATCATTTAGAAAAGAAAGCCAAACAGAACATCTCTATAAACCTAGGTGACTCCAATGTGACCTAGAAACAAACAGCGTAGTGTGCATGACACTCAATATAACCATCCATCTTTATGTGTGGTGCTTTGTTCATTTTGTGAAGAGAAAAGGTCTTTGTGCGTGGCTGCACTACACTACAGATTGACTGCAAATATGACATGACCTCAGCCTTCACTGTTACCCCTGTCACACAGGATGTGTGTGGATGAAGTGTTCTTTCTGAACCCGTTCACCTGCAGTGGAGACCATCCACATATAAACTGACTTTATCAACATGACAGGTCCTCACTACATTTGCAACAGCTGGTTATGACATATTCCTGCCAAAGATCAGAGTACAAGACAGAAATGTATGTTCACTGGAATGAGTGTCTTCTAAAGAATAATGGGAGGAGGTTCACAAAGACATGCAATGGCTAGATGAAATGAGTCAACAACAGTACATTGAACTATGTCACTGTGTGGAGTCTGCAAGAAGCACAAAAAGGTCACTCCTACAAAGTGTTACAAAGGGTCACTGAGCCTGAGAGAAACCAGCAATGTAGATTTTGAGTTCCAGTTTTTAATTAAATAACATTTTAATCATCCCCTGCCCCGGGCTAGAACATTTGATAAATTTTTTTTGCAAAAGAACAGATCAGCCTATCAAAATATAAAATCCACAAGAACAGGTCAGAAGGAAATGTTTACACTCAACTAGGGGTGGGCAATAAATCAAAAATTTCCTGAAATCGAAATTTAAAAAAATAACTGATGTCATTTTGCCCATGTCAATATATTTGGTGTCAAAAAAACAAACAAATATAAGTTGGTTGTGGATGTGTGTAGGTAGGCTATGGTCTCATGTCCCTTTAAGATGCTGTCCTAAACAAGGACAGGTGAGGATATGGAGGATGGTTCAAAAGTTGTAGCAGCTGAAGTAGACAAGTGCATGAGGGAGGAGGTGAGCAGCTTGTGGAGTAGTTATTGTCCATTTATCGTTATCGAGGTGAACTGCTCAATATATCGTGATATTGATTTGAGGCCATATCTCCCAGCCCTAGCCTCAACAATCATCAAAGGATGGATTTCCTAGATTCAGGCCAATTTATGGGGAGAGTACAGAAAAATATAAAACAGAGTTGATATTTTTACCCTACTTTCCTGTAACATATAGGGCAGAAAATGGATAAACATACACTGTTGTTCATTCACTCATTCATTTAAAAATGCAAATAAAAGCATGGTCTACATTTCATTGAGTGTTTTGGGTTACTCGTGTGCCAGACTTCCCAGGGAGTGAACAGTATGCAAAACAGTGTTGGTATACAAAAGCTGCGATGTGGGTGTGTGGCTCTTGGAGTTTGGTACCAAAACGATATTTCAGCTAACACTGAGAACTTTCTAGAGCATAAAACACATTTCATTGAGAGTTAAATTCGAAGCCTCAGTCAATTCTGGTACTTGATTTGTTTTTTATACATACTTCATTCCAGCATCACAATATGTTGAAGAAATTAATAACAACATGAGAACAGTCACACTATGAATCAGGAACTTCTTTGAGGCCACCACAGATCTTAACAGTTCACAACAGACCGAACACATCCTATAAACTCTTTGGTGTTTCTCGGATGTGTGAAGAGAATTATCTTCTATTTGAACCAAACATACTGACTGACAAGGCAATGCTCAGAGGAATATTTGACTAAAAAAGGACAGGGGTAGTCTTGAGTCAGATGAAGCTGTGTTAAAAACAGGAATCAGTTCAACTTTTCACTGTTCTCAAACAAATACTGGACACTGATTATATTTGGTAAATAAATAGAACTTTGTTTTGTACAAATCTATGTTTACAACTCCACAAGCCTGTGTGCCAGTAACAGAAGCCTGCAGCACACTAGCCGGGTAGGGGGCGGACTGACTTTAACCTACTCTTAGAACAATTAAATTACCTCATCCCATAGTTATGCACTGCTCGTATTACACATGCCTTACGCATTTTGCCAAATAGCAGGGCCACTAGTCCATTTCTCTCTTTGCAGCTGGCTTTGAACTACAAGAGAAGGAGGAGAGATGAAAAGACAGTTCATGAGTTGAAGAAATATGCTAACCAGGAATGTAACTCAGTGCCTGATAATGGCTGCTTCAATGACACTCTCATACACATCACGGTAGGCTCAAGCCAGGCCACAGACAAAAGAGCTACTCACTCCACACTAACCACAAAGAATGCAAGTTTTGGCCTCTTTTACAGCATCTCTGTTTACATTGAAACGGAATTATGGTCAGAAATAACTGGACATGCATTTAATTCACTGTGAACCTGCTTATAGAGCTCAACCATCAATCCACTATCAGTAGTTTCAACTACTAACCTAGTTTCTACTCTGTACACTTAGATTATTAACATGAAAAAACAGCAACACACAGCATGTATTGTAATGGTAGTAAAAGACAACTTTTGTGATTGTCAAACTAGCCCTTAACCTTAAACTTAACCTTGCCTTTCCATAAACTACAAACATAATAATGGTCTTAGAGATACAATACAGAAAACTGTTTTAATGTTTTAATGCTGTAGAGATATGTGTTTATCAGTCAAACACAAAACTAAATATTTGTGGAGATAAACCCAAAGGGATGCCTACCCTGGAAAAATAATTACAAACTGCTGACTCACTAGGAGTGTTTTTTGTGCAGAATATGAATATGTTAAAAAAAATTTTGGCCTGGTATGACGTTGAATAAAACAAAAACAGTGAATGCTGGCAAACTTTGGTGCAAGAATCGATAAAATGGACCTTCCTTCCTACAAAAATGCAAGGTTATTTCTCTGGCCTCAGCAAAATACAGAATTTAACATCTATGCTTGAGCATAAAACAAGCAGGTGGGAATGACTTCATGAATAAAGCCATGCAAAAAGCTGCAAAGCTTTGTCTATTAAAAGGACAGCTTCCTTGAAACGACTTTTGTTTCTGAACATTGCTGCTCATGATTTCTGATATCAGTGCTACAAGGTGTAACTTTGATTCTCACACAAAACTGCAGGCTCTCATCTGGTTTTGTGGATTTGCAGTACAGAAAACCTACTTGCATTGATTCGAGTATGTTGACCAAACGATGTACAAGACTCCAAATGCATATTATATCATGTTCAAAACATGTGGAGAAGCGTTCAGGGTCTCAATTGCTAGTTTCTCAGGTTTTGGACAGTTTTCTGCTGCCACGTATAAGGTTTTGTGCAAGAGTTGCACTCTGACAGGCGAGCTGTTTGGCTCCTCCACCCCACAGAAATATTTACGTTGACAAAATGTACAAATAATAATTTGGCATTAAGGTGGTAGAAAATGTAAAAAAACACTAAATATCAATGTTGAATGAAAACTAAAAGACTAAGAAACTTCACTATTTAGTTTTGCCACAGAGAACCACTGGAGAGGGCAAAAGAGCAACAGGCTCCTGACCCTTGACTAGCCTGACATTAACCACTGAGACAGCTCAACAATACGTAAAAAACACAATGACATACACATAAATTTATCGATAAATGTTTGTACAGCATGCTTTTCCTGGAAGGACATTCCTTCTTCTTCATCTCATGTAATTAACATTACGCAGAGGCACGTGACTGAATTGAAATACTAATACAAATTCCAACTACAAGCCATGGTCTCTCTCTGAGGGTTCAATTACAGTTTCTCACATGCTAGGAGAAGTGTCAAGCCATTTGTGGTTATTACATTTTTAAGTGCTTCATCCAACCTTGGCGCTAGTCTCAAAACGATTCAATCTAACTTGACATTGACGCAACAGCGCCAGTTTCTCACACTGAAAAACTGACTGATGTAAGATTTTCCCCCTGCACTAACTGAAACTACCATCTCTGTTGGGGTTTTTCTATCAGTCCTAAATGAAAACTATCAAAGGAGGGAGTAGAATAATATATTACAGCAGCTACGTCCTTCAAAGATAAAATAATGGTGTCTTTTTATCAAGCTACCTGGTTTAGTTCACTGTGGTTTAGTACAATAAACCCTGATCTTGCTTGTGTTTCCACAGCCAACTGTATCCTTGAGGGCTTCACACATAGGTTGCGTGTTGGCTGTGTGGTGCATCTGGAACTTCTCCATTTCATATTTGCCTGCATGTTAACAGATGAGACTGTTCAGGCCACCAAAATGAGCACAAATCTCAACATGCCATACTTCCAGAAAATTGAGGGTGACAGGACAGTTAAAAGAAGTAACTAGAAATACAGTTAATACGTCAACGGATAATAAATAGCCAGTTTACAACTGTATCTATTGTTTTGGTAGAAATAACTGTCTGAATTGCATCCATATTGTCAACAAAAAAGAAATGTAGGTTGTCCAGCAAGAAGGAAGAAGACAGAGGTAAGTCACAGAGAGTCATTGCATGTGTTATGCTTTATGGTCCATATGAAGAAATGAAGCAGTTATGGCTGGTGTACTGAACATTCATGGGGTTATTTTGTAAATATTGCAACACTGCTGGCAATTACAGCAGTTTTATTGTGCTTTAAAAGTGACATAAATGTATGACAGACATCTAACACACTTATTTAGAATCCTAGTATCAGGCTGCTCTTTGGCAGGCTTTATCAGCTGTTGGGCTACTTTTATTACACTTTCCTGGCAACCCTGCTCCACAGCCATGCAGCCAGATCGTTCTGTACAGAGGTTTTTCAGGTGTTTAATATTTCCTGGTATTTCAATCAACATACCATCCTATTATTTCAGTGACATTTTGTCACGCTGATACACTGCTATCATCAATTACATGTAATTTATTTCAGTTATGGAGCTGGAACTTGAAAAACTATGCGAGTCCGAAACTCCACTGAGGAAAGACAGTAGGCGAACAGGACCGCATGGTTCTGCTAACACCCCTGGCACACATATGGTAATTTATTACATTGTCATTACTGTCAGCAACAAATAGAAAGATCTGGGTTCTGCAGGTAGCTGTTGAATTTCCACATTGTATCTTAGTATGAGACAGGAAACTATGACCTTTGACCATGTGTCCTGGAAGGCCAAATACAACTTAACCTGCCAGACCCTTGAGCTGCTTACAGTGTAATATAGTGTACATCTCCCTCTGGATCTTAAATGAGCCTGTCTACTACCTTGACCCCAACAAGAGCATACACTTGGGTGACTGAGATATAAATAAACTGTCATCATGTGATAGAGCGTGGCCATATGGCAGGCTCAACTGAGCATTTCAGGGTCACAGAGCAACACTTTCTGCTAGCTCATGAGCTTCCTAAACATAGCTGCCTGGCAGATGTGAGACCAGCGAGTTCATCTACATCGGGCAGGTTCAGATTTTACTTTGGATGAAAGCGGTTTGTCGACTACCACTACAACTGACCATAACGTTGACAACAAACTACAGAGAAATCAGTGCGCACAAAAAAGTGGTACATGTCAACATACAAAGCTTGTTTATAGATAAGCAACAGAACAACAACTGCTTGTGTTGAGTAGTTGATCCCCACTTAGTTTCTTTCCACACAGAGTAGGTGCTGTTGTACACAGCTAGAGTATTAACCCACAGACTGATTGCTGTTGAAAGCCTGGAGAAAAGCATTATCCTGGCTCACCACCACAAAGTTAATATAGTGATTCCTAGAAGCAGCAGAAACGCCCAATAACAACGGTTAGCTGACACGTGTTCAAAGCCTACTGCAGATAGGATACATTTTGGCACTAGCAGCCCAAGCCCCACTGACCCTTTTCCAAGACAGTGGGTAACTCCATCCCTGAGCTTTGGGGTGCCAGTAAAAAAAATACATTCTTCCTATGAAACATGAGCGTGTGGGGAGGAAAACTCTGGCATAGTTCCTTCAAGAAAACAACAACAACAAAGTAACGGTCCCCCCTCAATCAACTAAGCAAGGAGAATGAAGCAAACATGCTCTTGTGGTTTAATGGCAGGCATGCACAAAAACATCCGACTGAATCCGATCAAGACTTTGGAGGGCTAAACCTCTGAACAATGTGGGAGCTGGAAAGCGACCTCACAAAGCTTAGCAAGCTGGTTAACAGCATGTATTTAACGGAATGCTTCTCATTGGCCCACACATACATGACATTTCTAACAGCAAAGGATGGTTACTAAAGAAAGCAGACGTGTTTCAAGGTCTTTCACGCATGTGACACGAACAGAGCTAACCAAGCAGGTACTTGCCTGTGTACAAGCCAACTGCAGCTAACTAACTAAGCTAGCAAGGATGGCTAACAGCAGAAAAGAAGCTAACTACTACTAGCTAGAAGCTTAACATGGGCTGTTAGCTAAGACACTCATACTGCTTCCCATTAAACCAAAGCAAAAAGAACAAGTGACGCTGTAGTAACCCTTAGTAGGTAAAATCTTACCTTTTGAGTATAGAGATTTGGGGGAATTGAGGTCGAGATCCGAGCTAAGGAGGGATACAAAATCAGAGGGCATCGCAGCGCTTCATCGAGGGGAGGGGACGCGGACACTCTTCAGAAGAAGCGAAAACGGCAGCTTTTGGCCGATTAATAATGCGTTTTACACACGGAATGTCTCAGTATACAGGGTGTTACATCCAAACAGTAACAGGACGACAGAAAAGAACTTTCGGTATAATTAAAAACCGTTAACTAGCACGTCTCACGTCAGTGTGTGCGTGTGCCTTTTCTGTGAGGAGACACATTTCGTGCTACGTCGAGACGGACACACACAAACACACACTTGCCTACAGTTGGTCGGCCCACCTCCTAGCCCCTCCCCTTTCTGCTGCCCGGGGCATGCGCACTGTTCACGGTGAAATACCGGGCAGCAGTTTTACCAAATGTACAGTGTGATGTGGTGGGAATGAAAATAGCCAAAGGAGTCCCCACACATCCATTGAGTTTATGACCTAAAATAACATTTAAAAAACTGTTACCTGTGGAACACCGATGTCAACGATGTCAGGAGGGACAAGAGGGTATCTCTTAGCAATATCTAAAGTACAATTCAATATTACACTAACCAAATATTTAATGCATCAGCACATGTGCAAGACAGTACGGTGGCCGAGAACCGCCACTGCTGCTGCGGCTGCTGCAAAAATAGAAGAAGCCACAACGGAAGTATGCGAAGGGAAAAAAAAAACAAGCCCGCAGCAAATAAAAGAAGAAACGGTGCAGATAAAAAAGAAGCCACAATGGAACTTAATGACACAAAAAAAGTGGCAATGAAAAAAAAAAGTTACTGCAAAAAAAAAAAGGATGCAAAAAGAAAAAAACCACAACAGGAGTAAGCTGCTGGGGATAATGATGCATCAGCGTTTTATGATCTAGGCACAGAAGACAATGGCGAGAAGACGAACAAAGAAGTAAGTGGAAAGGTTATTGTTTAATGTTGCTTTGTGTGCTTTTCAATGTGTCATTTGGTCAGGCCATGTAGCGCCTGAGTTGATATGAAGTTGAACTGAAGCTAACACTACACCTCCTCCAGTTCAACTTCATATCAACTCGGGTTGTACATGGCCTGACAAAATGACACATTGAAAAGCGCAAGAAGTGAAATTAAACAATAACCTTTCCACTAACTCCTTTGCTTACCCTCTCGCCGTCGTCTTCTGTGCCTAGATTGTAAAACACCAGTGCATCATCATTACTGGTCCTCGGCTGCTCACTTCCTTGTGGCTTTTTTCTATTTGCATCCTTTTATTTTCGCAGTAAGTAACTTTTTTTTTTCCATTGGCACTTTTTTTTTTTTTTTTGCGTCTTTAACTTCCGTTGTGGCTTTGTTTTTACCTGCACCATTTCTTTTTTTTATTTGCAGCGGGCTTCAGTTTCTTTTTTTTTTTTGATCAGTAACTTCCTTTGTGACTTTTTTTTTTTTTTTTAATTTTAATTTTTTTTATTTGCAGCCATGGCAGTTCTCGGCCACCGTAGGTAGGCCTACAATGCTTGATTTCAACTGCAATTGAATAAACAGGAAACTTTGTAGTTCCTGTTGACCTTTTCTCAAACTCACTGACAAAAATAATATTAGTGGGCCAAAGTAGAATAAATGGAGTAGAAATGAAAGGCTGTCTGCATGGATGAATGTTTAATGTATATGTATCTGCAAATTAGAAGATACAATACAATACAGTACAAGAACTTTATTGATCCCCAGAGTGAAATTCGTTATATGAATCATATGAGAATTTATTCAAAAAGAAATCAGGTTATGGGAGCACTTATTCTTGGACTATGGTCTAAAAATGTATCACAAAAAGGCAATAAGAAAAATAGCACACATAACCAAATGGAAAATAATAAAATTTGTTTTATTGTGAGATTGCGCAGTGTTTTCTAAAGTTTCTTAATGGAGACCACAGTTTTAATATGCTGTGAAATGTGCCCACAGGCACACACACACTCTTACCTACTCAAAGCTCTGAATAAAACTCATGTTATCAGGATTAAAACTCACTGAATATCACTGCCTGTCATCTAGAAAGACTTGACGTACCACAAAAGTAATATAGTATAAATGGGTTATCAGCAGACCACCGAAATATTAGAAATATAACTAAATTAATGTCAGCGTACTTTCTAAAGAGTAACAAGACTGCATGTTATCACAGTATTTTCTCTCCTCAGGAACAGAGGGAGCACTTTACCACAAGTGTTGCTGCTTATTTTCTTCTCTTTCTCTTAACTCTCTTTGGGGTTTTCTCTCTCTGCCCTTGCAGTTGAACTGGCTCTGTCTCCATTGTTTACAGTATCTTGATCTTTGTCTGTAGCACATGCAGCAAGATGTTCCAGCTGAGCAGGTGGTTATCCACACCTGACTTAACTGTCCGTAATCATGTTAAATGCTCTTCATAGAATAAATGATTAAAAAAAACAAACCTTCTGATGTCTATTTAGTCACACTGGTGAACAATGAGCTAACATACAAGTGTTTTTCTAGATACAGCGGCACATGGGCAGCTGTGTTGCCTGCTTCGTAAACCACTATCAGTTCAGATCTAAAAAATCTGGTTGGTCAGGTTCCAGTGTGAACCACTACCAACAGAGGCCCCGCTGAACTGAGAGAACAGCCATACTGATGCTTTCAATTAAAGCATGTCTGTGCTGTATATCAGTAGCTTCCAAAATAGATATCAGCTTCAGCTGTTGGCACAGGAGCATTCAGGTTACCCACTTTAGGCTAGGCCCTCCACTGGAGGTTGTCTATATTTGTCATTGTAGATTTGTCTGCTTGTCATTCTGATCACCAGGGGATCTCAAAAAAGAAAAAAAGTGCATAGTCCATGGAATAGTGTAAGAAGTGCCAGACCAGAGTCCATGTCCTGCATGTTTTGCAAGTGGACGACTGACAAACGAGCTAAACTGGAGCATGGCACCAATCTCACGTGACATTTTCCTTTTTAAATCAAAAACTTTAGACACATAAAGGGTGAATATTTAACTACAAATGTTACACAGGTCCTTCCATCTAAATATCAAATACTAGTCAGTCGTCCACTCCTATGTTGTGAAAAAAGTAGGACATTGACTCTCCATTGTGGATGCGGCTGATGGCCTGAAAGAATCATCCTTATGTCCACTGTTTATACCTTCGGAGAAAAAAGTCAGAATTCTGAGATTAAAATCTGAATAGTGACTTTGATCTCAGAATCGGATGTTGATCTAAAAATTCTGCCTTTTTTTCTCAGAATCTGACTTCACTCTCAGAATTCTGACTTTTTTCCTCAGATTTCTGACTTTAAACTCAGAATTCTGATAATAATAACAAAAAAATATTGGACCCTTCCTTTCCAGTGGCCCTAATCCTCTTCCGTAGTTTTGAAACGTCTCCGGAATATAGCGAAAGGCGATAACCTTGATCTCACAGCCGTTACTTTTTCGTTTCCGCTGATGGTTGACATAGACTCAGTTTCCCAGAAGTCAACGCGGTGCTCGTCACAGTGTTGTTGCGGAAGTGCCGGTGAACGCGCTGCTGACTCCCCTCCGCTCTGGCAGTTGAAGTCATTCTGTAGAGCAGATATTCCCCCCTGATATTCTGTTTTCAACAAACATTTACCTGTAAAACCCGAGTCATGTCAGCTCTTAAATACGCAGGTATGGACGATACAGATAGTGACGACGAGCTACCTCCCGGATGGGAAGAGAGATCTACGAAAGATGGTTGGGTCTACTATGCAAAGTAAGCACAATCTGTTTAGTCAACGATAAATGTCAAAAAAACCTCATGTGTGTCTCTATTTACAAAAAGGTGAGCTACGCTCTTTTCTACAACCAGAGGATGATACACTCATGGTGTTAGCACCGATTGCTAGTCACACTATATTGTAATCCCTGCCTGGCATGAGTTACAGAGGATTCAGAGAAACATAATATGTTTAATATAAATTGCTGTTAGGGAGAGATGTGAATTGAAATGTCTTAAAAAGACTGTCAACGTTAATGATAGCCTGCTGTCAGATTATCTTGCAGAATCTGATGTACAGTCATAAATCAGAGGCAGTAAAATGAGAGGCAAAACTTCATGTCAGGGTAACTCTTTGAATATGAAACAATGAGATCTCAATAACTTAGAGTCGCAAGAATTTTCTTAAGATTGTCCTCCTATTTTACACAGTTGTAGTTTCGCATTTTATGAGACATTTCCAAAGTTGGTTTTCATGCAGTTACAAATGTTGGTTGTTTTATTTACATTCCTTAGGGAAATGTGTGCCATGTGTTTCTCATCTGCTGATGAAATGGTGGGGCTAACCTTTTGTTTGCTTATGTTCATCATTGAGTTCCAGATTTTTTCTTCATTTATGACAAGAAATAGCTGGTTGTTTCCCTGAGATCTCAGTGACTTTACTGAGGATAACAAATCTGAAATTTCCATTACACTAGATTTATTCGTCTCATCTTATTATCGTGAGATGACAAAGCTTTTATCTGGTGATAACAAGAGAGTTTTCTGTAGAGCTGGAAAAACAACAGGCTGGACACTATGATAAGCCAGACTATGACATGCATGCTGCTTGTGCCCACACTACTGTAGTAAATCAAGCCTATTTCTGCTGGTTTTCTGCATGTGCACTTTTTTTGTGTAGAAAAAGTCTGAAATTAACTTATCATGGGAAAAAAAGAGAACCCCCCCCCCCCCCCATAAGAAGTAAGTTAAGACAGTAGGTGGGATCACTTTTATTAATCTTTACTTTATTGTTGATCAACAGCCACGATGAGATGAAGACACAGTGGGAACACCCGAAGACAGGAAAGAAAAAGCGTTGTGCTGGAGGTTTGCTTTGTTTACTCATTTTTTTCAGTGCACTACATGCATTTTGGTCGAGGTTTGGTAGGTAGTAAACATTGCTGTATGCTACAAAGGAGTGTTATTTCATGATACAAGTATTGTCAATGCTAAAGTGTTCGTTTTCAGAGTGTATTCATTGTTATTCTTTTCTGTAAATGTGTTATCTTTTTCGCAGATTTACCATATGGATGGGAGCAGGAGACTGATGCAAAAGGACAGATCGTTTTTGTTGAGCAAGTGGATTTGTATATTGATCCAGATTTTCTTCAAGGATATTCTTGACTGTGATGATTAGGATGATGTCTGTATCATTAATATCAAACTGTCCTGCTATTTTCAGTCACATTAACAAGAGGACCACATACTTTGACCCGCGGCAGGCGTTCACAGTAGAGGATGTGGTGGTGAAGCCAAAACGTTACGATGGGAACACTGCTGCTCTGGAGATCCTGCAGGGACGGGACCTCTCTGATAAGGTGGTCCTCATAACTGGAGGCAACTCTGGCATCGGTGAGTTTCTTATAGTACTAATTTGTTTGATGGTTTTCATAATGTTCTATCGTAGCTATGCAGGTATAGAAGATTTCAGGATTTCGGTAAGTGTGTTTCTGGAGTGAGGCCACTAGATGGTGATGTGGTATCAGAGTAGCAAAAGGCTGCCTGACAAGCGTGTCTCTGCAAGTCTCCATCTCTCTACACCCAGACATT